AAGACAAGCGTGCGTTTTGGCGGCAGATACTTATGTACGTGGAGCTTCGAGTTTGGAGCTGCTACTGCAAAATGCACAGATATTCCATTATGTCGACAACAGCTACGCGGGACCTGCCGAAGATACCGCTGATGCCAGGGCGCGATACTACAACGAATCACTGATGGCGTATTGCGTCTTACTACAAAACATGTCGCAGGCGGAGCAACTTAGCATCCGCTCGTACAAGACAACATTTGCTCCAGCCCTCAATGTCTGACAACATGTGAACTACGTATATCAACCGAATGATTCGGTCTCTTCGAGCCGCCTGCTCCAGCAGCAACTGGAAACAAAATGGCCCCAGAGGAGAAGGCCAACAGCTACATCAATCGCTGTCGGAGCTTACGCGATCAAATCACGAAATCGGGAAGCACCATCTCCGAAGAAATCTTCGTGAATATCGTGCTTCAAGGGCTTGGCTCAGAGTGGCGGCCCTGCAAGGTGCTCCTTCGACAGCAGGGGGTTATCTCGGAAGCCACCCTATGCGCCACCCTTCTCGTCGAACAGAGAGACGTGGATCAGCAGCGACCAGCGCCGCGGCGAGACCGGGAATGCCTCGCCTACCACGCAGACAACACAGAAGAGCGACAGCCACGGCACCTTCATTGCAAAATTTGCAGAAACTTCGGGCACTTGGAAGATCGATGCAAATTCTGCTCTCGCCCTCACCAGACCAGTCAGAGCGCCTGGTCGGGCCGACAAGACGCACCAAATGATACGCGTCAAGCCCAGGGGTATCAACCCCCATCGCGCAACCTGAACCCAACGGTTCAGCATTAGAAGCAGCAGCCGTCTCAGCTTGCACCTGCCCACAACAAAATCGGCAACACGACCATGACACACACGAGTGGATCTTGCCATCGCCGCGTGCTCACGTTGTCACCCAAGCCAGCAAGCCATCCAATCAAAGCGTTCACGGACAACAATCCGTTCACCCCCCGCCACGATTTCAGCGACGACGATAAGCAAGATTGGAATCTCCCAGTCCCGCTGCTTGAAAGCCCCCCGCACGTACCTGATTCACGGGCGGCAACGATTGATTGGATCCCGCATGAACGATTTCTTATGACGTGTCTCAAATGTGCGGGTCCACGTGGGTCCGACGCGGATCTGGCGGACCAGCTCGAGAACCAAGCCTGAACCAGCGGCGGACTGGACCGAGATTAACCCCGATAAAACTTTCAACTGATATACAGTGCAACGGTGTCATTTAACTGATCGCCAGACCAGCCCGCGCCTGGTCCGTAACTGTAGCAGCTCACACAGCTGTTTGCGAAAATTATCGCCACTCGTTATTGTCGCTCCAAACGGGATGGGGAATTTCTACGGGGCAAAAAAATAGAGGAAACTCAATTTCAACATTCTGATTTTCGTAGATACTGATTTTTATTCGCTAGTATTGTACAGTCCGTGACGCGATGTCTCACGTAGACCAGCTCGTGCTGTCAGAATCCCAGCCACTAACCACTGGGATAAAAGGGCTTTTTTTTATATAGCGGGTGAGTGCGCCCATAACCCCCCAGGCCGACGTGCCTGTAACCCTTCCCTAGGATCATCGGGGATCTCCAGTGGACCTCTGACACGTGCCTGGTCCACGGCTGGTCCGCAAAGTAGGTCCGTCGGACCAGAATTGCGGACCAGGCATGCATTTTTTTGCAGCGGACCAGCTCGGGACGGACCAGTCACATGAGACACCCTCTTAAGTTTGACACACCGCACATCGTCACGCCGCGATTGGCGCTGCTCGCACGTGACGAGGACAAGCGCTACAACACCTGATACCTGGACAGCTGTTGCAAGCAGCACATGGTCGGATCCGAGCGTTTCGTCTCCAATGCCGTTTCGGCCCCCACGGTCACCTACGTTACCGTGGCGAACAACACTCGCTTGCGCACAAGTGCGCAAGGAATCGTCGTGCTCAAGGCACGTTCAAGCCGGAAACACATCATGCTGAATGATGTGCTCATTGTCCAGAACGCGCTTCAATCTCCTCTCGACGGCTCAGCTCATAGATTGTGGCGTTGAACTGAGCACGGACCTTCGCAGGCGCGACATCCTCCTACACTACTCGTCGCCGACCACAGCGCGCAAGCAAATCGGTGGAGCATACTCCGAGAAAGGAGTGTGCATTCTCGACTTTAATATTCGTGACTGCAACAGCGACTCGAACGAGCTAATCAACCTCGTTCCACTCCATTTCCACCGTTCCGACTGGAAGCATCCTGACAGGAGGCCTTGGGTGTCACATCACCTGCACCCGCGCAAGCTGGCGCTCCATGACCCTGACCCAGACAGCATCTGCAGGGACTGCCACTTGCCCACCGCCTCAACAAACGCAGTCGCCGGCCGTGGACTCGTCACCATCGCTAGAGCCGAACGATCCACGCCGCCAGAAGAAGGCATGTCGGCGTTGGAACTAGAAGTGGCCTCTCACCACGTCTTCGGTCCCAACCAGAACCCCCTCTCAAGTTCCCCCTCCCAACGACTCGAAGGCATCCTGCATGGACAGCGCCGCGAAACCTTCGACACACGCGGAGTGGCGCGTCCCTACACGTGAGACGACTTCCTGCAACTGTACCCTCACTAGCGCGACCCCACGACGACGCTTACCGTGGAACTAGAAGAGGAGCTGGCATGCCGTGAAGCCGAGGAGCTTCGCCGAAAGCGCCTCACCAAAGCGCGCGACACGTTTACTTGCGCTGCTTGGGGAGCAGCAGGGGAAGAGAGTGCCTCCAATGAAGGGGGGTGGGGAAGCGCTGGCGGATGGGGAACGAGCGACACAAGCGGCTAGGGCACCTCCATTGAAGACTGGAGTGCTTAGCGAGAAGAACAAAATGGGGGAGCAGAAGCGACTGAAGAAGCTGGACTGCGCGTTGTTCCTCTTGACCGCCCCCCACGCCTTCCCGCACCTACGCTGCCCCTGCCTGACATCCAGCCGCGCCGTGATCATTGGGACGAAAGTCTACGAACCCGATCCGGAACCGCACGAACCCGCCTTCATCCCCGATACCATCCTCGGGATGAACATCCCACTTTCCGTGATATTCGGCAGAGAATTTTTGGCACTGATGCTGACGACGGCGAACAATAAGAAGAATAAGCTAAAGAAGCGGCAGTGGAACCTACCCCAGTACTAGAAGAAGACCTAGAGACAGTGCGCGCACGCTACATGAACACCTCCGGATTCCGCGCGAGCGACGCCGTTTGGCACCAGCGCCTCGGTCACCCCTTGCGCGCCACGCTAAAAACTGCATAGACGCAGGCGTATTCGCACCTGACGTTCTCCTGCGCCCTGACGACTCTAATATGAAGAGCACGTCACAGCTGCGCAACTGCGCCGTTTGCCCCGAAGCTGCGCTATGCCATCAACCGTTTCCCTCACTAGATCGAGGAACCAATCGCTACCTAAAGCTGCACAAGGTGTACAGCGATTTCCTCGTCGTCGGCCACTGCGGCCTCAACGACGAGCAATACACACCTGCTACGTGTGGGTAGTCAATGTTGAACCTCGCAGCAGGGCGTACGAAGTCTTCCGCCTCTGGCTGGCGCACGCGCAGCGGCAATCTGGGAAGAAATTGAAAGTCTGCCAGTCGGACGGCGCAACGGAATTTCGTAGCAAGGAGCTGCAAGACTACCTGACGCAGAAAGGCATCGAGCACCACATCTCCCTCCCCTACGCACACCCGCAGCAATGTGTTGTCGAGCGCACAAAGTGCATGCTCATGACAAAGGTGCGGACGCTGATAATGCAATCGAAACTTCCGTTGACGTACTGGACCTACGCGATGCACGCCGTGCGGGTGTATAATCTGCTGTCAACCACCGCCATCACTGGCAACCTGTTCCCGCATCTGAAGTGGACGGGCGCGAAGGGCGACACATCTATGCTCCGTGTCCGGGGGTGTATGGTGCAATATCGCCCGTCGACATCAACCATCGGCAAATTCGCCAGCCGCGCGCGCTGGGGAATCCACCTCGGCATCAGCCACGAATACAAAGCGTGTCCCATCTTTGACGACGATGGCGTACATGAGATTATCCTGCGGCATCGTCACGATAGCACCGTCTCAGGGCTGCAGCTGCTAGGGCTCCACGCCGCCACTTCAACAGTGCCGCGTGTCATCGAGTCCAAGAATCCGTGCCAAGCACTTACAAGACCACACAGCAAGGAGTGGCACGGGGCAATGGTTGCAGAAAACATGGCGCTCGAGTCCCGTGACACCTGGGTGCTCGTCGATCGCGCAGCAATCAAGGGGAGGAGGATACTCACCGGCAAATGGGTCTTCCGCATGAAGACCGCATCGGACGGCACAATCGAGCGCTTTAAGGCGTGTTGGGTCATACGCGGCTACGATCGAAGGCACGACATCGATTTCGACCAAGCGTTCGCATTAGCAGGGCTCAACCATACGGTTGGCCATTCGGCGAGATCGTAAAAATGTTTCACGCCCTATATTTCGTGACTTTCTGAGTTGCGATTGAGGGCGCATTCCTAGCTAGTTTTTGACATCAGGTCATAGGTCCTTAGTTTCTAATTTGTCTTCTTCTTAATGTTGACTTGCCCCTATTCAGAGCCACACGAGTCTTCCGAGCCTCCGCTTCGTGTCTGACATAGGAATGTGCCCTGAGTTGCAGGCCCAATCAGGGTTACCCTGTGTCTAGCCTGCCGTTTCAGTCAGGGTCTTGCGGCAATTCAGCCGACGGGGCCTGATAGCGAATTCCCAGTGATGTGCCCTTAGTGGGTTCGCGGAGTGTGTGCACGGGAGGCCAGCACGGTTGCTTCTGCGAGGCTGAAGTAGTTCGTCGTCTACTTTCGTGTTTTTCGGTTGCCTAGGGAATTGACCCCTTTGACCGCGATTGGTTCTGCTCCTCGATTCACCCCTGCTTGCCTGCGAGCACGACCATCACCGTTGTTGCATCGGTAATTTTGTAACGCTGTAACGCCGTAACGAAGCATCATGGGCGATCGCCTAATAGGAATAGCAATTGGCTCGTCCGCGGTAGTGGCTGCTGGGCCGGTGTTTAAATGGATTCGAAGCGCTCTCGGACGCGACTCGCGTGGTGTTAAAACGAACGGCAAAGGAGCGGCATCGAGCAGTTTCAGCTCCCACAAATCCAGCGACGACACGTGTCCCGGCCTCTCGAGCCTCCCCGTAGCTTCCGCTTCTAAGGACGTCTCTAATTCCCTTGCTTCGGACAACGCCTTATTGTCGGATTCAGCCAATGCCGCAGCCGCGGAGGCGGTCCGAGTTAATAGCAAGAAGGAGATAGGAGACCTCTCGAGTCGCGGCGAGCGCGCTTTGGAGCCTATTCCTGGGCTGTACTATTTCTCCGCGTCTATGGAAACCGCTAAGGATATGTACTCATCGACGACTAACCCTAACGGGTTTATTACATTGTCTATAGCGGAGAACATGCTCATGTTTGATTGGCTGCAGGTGTGTGTGACTGCTGTGGGAGGTGGCTATTATCGGGGGTGATTGTAACGAGAGCGTGAAGTTTGAGGGTCTGGAAGTGAGGTAGCCTGCAAGTCTGCAGCTTTGTGTTTCTGATATCAGGTTGCTCGTTGTTCCACGCACACCCCCTCTCCCCCCTCCCCCTCCCCCCACCTTCTCCCTTCCCCCTTCTCTCCCGCCTCCCCCCCTTCCCCCGTCTCCCCCCGCCACCTCCTTGCTCCCCCACCAGGAGAAGCTGGCGAATCGCGCGCCGATAGAGCCGGAGGTGACGCGCTACAGCCAGGTGACGGGCATGCCGCCATCCACCTCCATCTCTCCTCACCTCGTTCCGCCCTTCCCTCCCCCTTTCCACCCCCTTTCCCCCGCCGCCACCTCCCCCTCCCCCTACCAGGAGAAGCTGGCGAATCGCGCGCCGATAGAGCCGGAGGTGGCGCGCTACAACATGGTGACGGGCATGCCGCGGTTCAAGGCGGCTGTAGCGCACACCATGCAGCGCCTGCTGCTGCCTCGCTGCCCGGGGCTGGTGAGTTGAGTTGAAGTGAAGTGAAGTGAGTGGCTGTGGATTGCGAGTGGTAGTGAGGGGAAAGAGAGCGTTTCTTGAGGATTGCGAGTGGTAGTGAGGGGAAAGAGAGCGTTTCTTGAGGATTGCGAGTGGTAGTGAGGGGAAAGAGAGCGTTTCTTGAGGATTGCGAGTGGTAGTGAGGGGAAAGAGAGCGTTTCTTGAGGATTGCGAGTGGTAGTGAGGGGAAAGAGAGCGTTTCTTGAGGATTGCGAGTGGTAGTGAGGGGAAAGATAGCGCCACACTGCACTGTGCAGCGCCTGCTGCTGCCACGCTGTCCGGGGCTGGTGAGTTGAACTTTGAGGCGTTTCTTGAGGACTTTTGAGGCGCCTTTTGAGGCGACTTTTGAGGCGACTCAAAAGCCTGCTGCTGCCAGGCGCCTTGTGAGTTTGCCTAGCCTGTGTTACACTCACAGTGCCACCTCACGCCGTGTCACTCATGCAGTGTTGCTCTCTCTCCCCTTATCACCACTCTCTCCCCCCAGACCGCCACTGTCTCTCCCCTCACCACCATTTAGGTATCACCAGAGAGCATCTGTGCGGGAGAGCGGGAGTGAGAGCTATTATAGAGCACCTGTGGCAGCATACTAATATTCCCTTGCTGCTGTCACCCTCTCTCCCCTCACCACCATCCAGGTATCACCAGGCAACATCTGTGCGGGGGCGGGAGTGAGTGCTATAGTGGAGCACCTGGCGTTTACCCTGTGTGATGCAGGCGAGGGGGTTCTCATCTCTGCTCCCTTCTACCACCGCTCTCTATCCCCATACCACCGCTCTCTATCCCCTTACCACCGCTTTCTATCCCCTTACCACCGCTCTCTATCCCCTCGCCCAGGTATCACCAGGCAACATCTGTGCGGGGGCAGGAGTGAGTGCTATAGTGGAGCACCTGGCGTTTACCCTGTGTGATGCAGGCGAGGGGGTGCTCATCCCCGCTCCCTTCTACCACCGCTCTCTATCCCCTTACCACCGCTCTCTATCCCCTTACCACCGCTCTCTATCCCCTCGCCCAGGTATCACCGGGCAACATCTGTGCGGGGGCGGGAGTGAGTGCTATAGTGGAGCACCTGGCGTTTACCCTGTGTGATGCGGGTGAGGGGGTGCTCATCCCCGCTCCCTTCTACCCCGGCTTCATTGGGGACTTCCAGCTCAGGTGCTGCTGGGTTGGGATGAGTTGGGAGTGGTGCTAGTGATGGCATCACCATGATGCTGAAGTTTGCTTGCTTCAAACTGCTGTGCTCATCCCTGCTCCCTGCTTCATTGGCGACTTTCAACTCAGGTGCTGCTGGGTTGGCATGTGCTGCTGGGTTGGCATGTGCTGCTGGGTTGGGATGGGTTGACTGCGATGCTAGTCAGAGATAGTCACAGATACGTGCCTTGAGAGCACATGCATGCACGCAGGCATGCACGCAGGCATGCACGCACATGCGCACCCTCAGATCAGACACGCATGCCCACGTGCACACCGTGACCTAGGGACAAACGTGGGAGCCATTGTGCTCACCAACCTCACCAACCCCCCCTGTTCCCTCTTTTCCCCAACCTCCCCTTCCGGTTTTCCTCTTCCCCAACCGCCCTGGTTCTCGCTTCCTTGCCTCCCCTTTTCCCTCCTCTCTCCCCTCCCCCTCCCCCCCCCCATCCCGGCCTCTTACGCGCAGAAACCGAGTGGAGATCATACCAGTGACCACAGCGGACTAGCGCCTGTTCCAGCCCACCCCTCAAGTCTGCCAGTCCATCCCTTCCTCCCCTTCCTCCCCTTCCTCCCCAACCCCACAACTCCCACCCTTAGAAACCGAGTGGAGATCATTTTTGAGTCGACTCAAAAGTCAATGCCTTCCTCCCCAACCCCACAACTCCCACCCCCAGGAACCGAGTGGAGATCATCCCTGTCACCACAGCGGACCAGCGTCTCTTCCAGCCCACCCCCGAGAACTGCCAGTCCATCTCTTCCCCCCTCCTCCTCCCCCCCCCTCACGATTCCCGCTCACAGAAACCGAGTGGTAATCATTCCTGTCATCACAGCAGACCAGCGTCTCTTCCAGCCCACCCCCGAGGACTGCCAATCCGCGCTGGAAGCCGCAGCAGCGAGGGGCGTTCGCGTGCGAGCCATAGTGCTCACCAACCCCACCAACCCCATCGGGTCCGTGTGGCCCGAGGCAGCGGTGGCGGCGCTGGTGGCGTGGGCGCTGCAGGCGGGTCTGCATGTGGTGTCGGACGACGTGTATGCTGCTACGGTGTTTGGAGATGATGCTCCGGGTGAGTGGCAGGGTGTGAACGAGGGTTGAGGCGAGTATGAATTTGGGCAGGGGAAAAAGATTGGGTGGGGTGGGGGGCGTGGGTGGGTGGGTGGGTGGATCGTCTTGGCCGGTGGCGTGGGCGCTGCAGGCGGGTCTGCATATGTTTGCGGACGATGTGTATTCCGCATCCTCCCCTCCCCTCCCCTCACCTCCCCTCACCTCCCCTCCCCTCACCTCCCCTCACCTCCCCTCCCCTCCCCTCTCCTCCCACCCCAGAGTTCGTGAGCGGGGTGGAGCTGGCAGAGCGGCTGGTGGCGGAGGGGAAGGCGTCTCGCGAGGAGGTGGATGCGAGGGTGCATCTGACGTACGGCATGAGCAAGGACTTCACACTCAATGGTTTCCGCGTCGGCTTTCTCTTCACCCGCAACCAGAAGCTGCTCAGGGTGAGTGCTGGGTGCTGTGGGTGCTGTGGGTGCTGCAGGTGCTGCTGGTGCTGCTGGTGCTGCCTCTTGTTAGTGCGGTGTGTGCTGCTTGCTGCCGGTTAGGACTTCACGCTTAATGTCTTCCGGATTGGCTTTCTCTTCTCCCGCAACCAGAAGCTGCTCAGGGTGAGTAGTGCTGGGTGCTGTGGGTGCTGCCTCTTGTTAGTAAGGCGGGTGCTGCTTTCTGCCAGTGCTGGTTATTGTACTAACACTGTGCACTGTGAGTGAGCAAGGGTTTACGCACCCTCCCCCCTCCCTCCTCTCCCTTACCCTCCCCCCTTCCTGCTCCCCCCTCCCCTCCCCTCTTCCTCCTCTCCCCTCCCCTCCCCTCTTCCTTCTTCCGTCCCACTCCCCCAGGCGCTAGGCATGGTGAACATCGTCTCGATGGTCTCTCAGGACACACGGTGGGCGCTGAGCACACTGCTGGAGGATGACGCGTGGGCGGACGCGTTTCTGGGTGAGGGCTTTGCTTAGCCCCTCTCTTACACCCCTGGCCTTCTCCCCCTTCCCCTCTTCCCCCCATTTCCCCCACTTCCCCTTTTTCCACACCTCTTCCACCATCCTCCAACCTCCCTCCCACCCCCCCAGGCGCTGGGCATGTGTAACATCTTCTCGATGGTCTCGCAGGACACGCAGTGGGCGCTGAGCGCGCTCTTGGAGGACGACGCGTGGGTGGACGCGTTTCTAGCCGAGAACAGGAAGCGCCTGCACCGCTCGCACCGCCTCATCTGCAGCACCTTAGAGGTGGGCTCTTATGGAGAGCTGCTGAGGGAACTGACGAAACTTACCTGAAAAAACAGCGATTCAGTTCAGCTGCTGCACCCTCCTCATGGTGTGGTTCTCTGGCTGGACCTACCTTGTTGGAGCATTGAAAGTGCAGTGCTTGGCTGGTCTCGTCTGGGCTGTTTGAGAGGCCTGTCTCCGTCTTGATACCTGGAGCTCGCAATCCCGTGGGTGACTTTTGAGTCGACTCAGAAGTCACCTCGTCTGGGCTGTTTGAGAGGCTATCTTGATACCTGGACCTCGCAATCCCGTTTGTGGTATCAGGAGCAGCCGCAGCTTTGTTTGTCTTTGTGGACATGTGTCGCTTCGCTTCCTCTCTGCACGCTTAGACCACCCTTCTCTTCCATACCAACCCCCACTCCCCTTTTTCCTTGTAATCCTCCTCCCTCTACCCCTCCAATGTCCCATCCACACCACACCATGAGTTTTGAGGCGCCTCAAAAGTCGTCTGAGGCGCCTCAAGAGTTTTCCCGTGTAATCCTCCTCCCTCTTCCCCTCCAGTGTCCCCTCCTCACCACGAGCACGCAATCCCCTTCGTGCCACCAGGAGCACCCATGTCTGCCTTCAGCGACGCGCATCATCCCTCGCGACACATCCAATCCTCCCTTCTTTTCCCTTCCACCCCCTCCACCAGGAACTCTCCATCCCCTACGTGCCATCAGGAGCAGCCATGTTTGTCTTTGCAGACATGCGTTGCCTCCTCTCTGCACACCTAGACCAGACCACCATCTCTTCCATCCCCACCCCCTCACACCAGGAGCTTGCAATCCCCTTGGTGCCATCGGGAGCAGCCATGTTTGTCTTTGCGGACATGCGTCGGTTCCTCTCTGCACACCTAGACCATACCACGCTTCCCTGCCACACCCCCTTCACCAGGAGCTCTCCATCCCCTTGGTGCCATCGGGAGCAGCCATGTTTGTCTTTGTGGACATGGCCTTTCCTTGCAACACCCAATCCTCCCTACTTCTCCCGTCCCTCCCACCTCCCTTCACCAGGAGCTCGCAATCCCCTACGTGCCATCGGGAGCAGCCATGTTTGTGTTTGCGGACATGCGTCGCTTCCTCTCTGCTCCCACCTTTGAGGCTGAGAAGCAGCTGTGGACCGACTTCAAGGATGAGGCCAAGCTCATCATGGTGCCGGGTGAGTGTTGCTTCTCTTGCTCCCCGCGTTGCTCCCCCTGTTGCTGCCCCGGTTGCTGCCCCCGTTGCTGCGCCCACCTTTGAGGCGGAGAAGCAGCTATGGACCGACATCAAGGATGGGGCCAAGCTCATTCTGGTGCCCGGTGAGTTGTTCAGCAGCGACTTAGACTGACAGAGGCATAGGAGTGACAGGCGTGGGTTGACTTGACAGGGATATTTGGCACAATTGTGGACCAACATCAAGGATGGGGCCAAGCTCGTCATGGTGCCTGGTAAGCGTGGCTCCTCTTGCTGCTTCTCTTGCTGCTCCGTTGCTGCTTGTCTTGCTGCTCCGTTTCTGCTTTTTTGCTGCTTCTATTACTGTTACTGTTCCTGTTGCTGCTCCTGTTGATGACGTTGGTGTATTGTGCCAGTTACCACCCTCCTTTCCCACTCCATCATCCCCCATCCGCTCCTCTTCCTCCGTCCCTTCCCTTCCCCTCGCTTCTATCACTCCATCCACCCTTCAGGAGAAGCATATCGTGCCTCTGAGTCAGGGTATTTCCTCATCTGCTTCTCATCGTCGACTGAACTGTCAGCTCCTTTCCCTCTCTTCTCTCACTCCACCCACCCGCTCTTCAGGAGAGTCATACCGTGCCTCTGAGTCAGGGTATTTCCTCATCTGCTTCTCATCGTCGACTGGAAAGTCAGCTCCTTTTCCTCTCTTCTCTCACTCCACCCACCCGCTCTTCAGGAGAATCATGCCGTGCCTCTGAGCCTGGGTATTTCCGCATTTGCTTCTCATCGTTCCCCTACGAGCATCTTGAAGTTGCCTGTGCTAGGCTCGTCACCTTCTTCAACGCAAGGGCAGCCAAACCTCTGGACACGCCTGCTGCATAGAATACGGTACAATGGCGGTGTGTGAAATGGAAGGCTGCGATGTGTCTGTTTGAAGATGCTTTATTGGCTATGGTTTCGTTTTGCCAACTGGATTTATAAATGGGGATGTTGTTGTTGTCGCAAACCTACCTCGTTTGAGTCATGTAGGGGGATCTGCATGAAACATGCGTACATGGAAATGCTAGAATATTTAACTATTATGCCTATTTATTCAGTTATTGAGCTTGTATGAAGTGCAGTGCTACGAATGTTGTAACAAGGGGCACGTTTCAATTCTACTCTTCGCACGAGTCGTGTTTCCATTGCACGAAGCTGCGTCGCCGACCGTTCAACCTTTCGCAGCTATCGAAAAGTCTGATAAAATGGATGGATGGCCAGCGCGTGTCGTTGTTGGTCTCCTGACAGAAAGCACCACACACAAACCGCCACTTTCCCTAACCCTCAGGATTCGCAGATCTGTTCGCTAAAGCTTCTGGTCGGCTAACGACGATAGCGATCGGTAACAAACCACACATCCACCGCCGGAACACAGCGTAGCGAATATTTGCGAGTGTTCCAGCGGCGAAATTCCGCTTCAACCAACCAACTCACCACTCTGCTGACCTGTCCTTTGCTGAGCTGGGTCAGCCATTAGTAGGGTTTGCTCATCTCTGCCTTACAGAAACAGTTGGGGGGGGGGGGGGAGCAGGGCACAGTAGGCGACTGCGCAATCGTACTGTAGGTTATGGATCTGGCTCGCAATCGCAACTCCGCCTGTGCTGCACTGCAATAGCAGCAGCACCCTTCACTCTCAGGATAGCCGCTTGCTGCTCCGTTGGTGTCTCTGCTATGTTCTCTGTTTTCTGCTCTCTTATTTTACTAAGCCCGTCCCCTTACAGCTCTTATTAGGTTCCTCCTCGCTCGCTCGGCGCCAGTAATATTTTCTCTATGCTCTGCGCCGTCCTACTTCTTAGTGCTTGCTGATCATGCGTGTGAGTGGCGCTTTCCCCTTGCCGAGATAACCAAGGATTCGCGATTATCAGACAATCATGTAAATCGTGGCTAGTTCCTTCCGTGTACCCTGTTTACAGCCAGGTTCACTCCTGTAGCCTTTTCCGAAAATGTGCTGGATTTTTTGTAGATACTCTCGTCATGTAAATACTCCCTCCTTCACTGGTCTATATTTTCACCTTGGGGGGTAAATGAATTAGTTTCGCGTTGCCATAGTTTTAGGTCTTAAGCTTCTTAACCGTACCTCGTTCCGCGGAGGGGAAGCAGGCGCTTTCTCGCTCCCCATCCGTTACTTTCGCCAAACGGCATATTCGCCAAAGTCCGCTGCAGTTCGCCCTAGTTCGCCAGCATGTACTCCGGATTGCAGCAAGAGCTGGGGGTCACAGAAGACGACAACTCCGCTGATCTCGAGCCGTCGCCGCAGAGCCTGCCGGCGGCCGGCACGGGCAATACGAGCACTGGCGGCAGCAGCTTCCCCGCGGGGCTGAGGGTGCTAGTGGTTGATGATGACCCGCTCTGCCTTATGATTCTCGAGCGCATGCTTCGTCAATGCGCCTACACAGGTACGCCCGCTACGCTGTAACCCGGTTTCCTTTTTTTTGCGACGTTTTTTTTTCCTTTCCCACGTCGCGACCGCCCCCTTGTTCCCGCGCTCTCTTGAGTCCCCCGCCAGTCGGCGTTTCGTCCTCTTTCTTCGCATTTCGTCGTTTTCGCGAATGTAGTTCGCGTATCGCCCTGAGCGACTAGCGAGTGCGCGACGGATGCGCATCACTTCATTCCCCGCCGTTGGTCGAAGGCGTAACACGAGTCGGTTTCGTGTCAAGTCAACGCTGCAGTCCTGCTCGCTCGAGCAACCTGTGCCGCATAGTCCGGTTTCGGTTTCCTACTTTCAGCGAAGATGGCTTTTAAGTCGACTCAAAAGCCCTCTTGCTCCTCCAGAGCAACCCGTGCTGCATACTCCAATGCGTGTTTCTACTTTTAGCGAGTATCGTTCCGGAGAGAATTGTTTTGGGGTGGTGGTGTGTGGGGGGGAGTATAACAGGTTGGGGAGAAGGGGGAGGAAGAGGGGAAGGGTGGGGGGAAGGGGGGGATGGGCGGTTGTGTGGAGCATAGGGTTTAAATAGGTACGAGTTCGTATTTTTGAAGTGTTTAACAATGTTATAGTGCGGTACAGTGCGGTGGCGTGTCGAACGGGGGCAGCTCGAGTCTGGAGGGTTCAGGCCCTAAAGGCATTGCGTGTTCCGGTCCTGTTCGTTGTTTCGTTCGTTCGTTCGTTGTTTGCGTAATGTTCGAGTCGGCCCGTTTACTTCTTACGTCGGCGCCGCCTTTCCCCCGGCTATTGGGTCGACTCAAATGTGTCACCTGGAAATACGTATTCATGTGCGCTGTGCGCTGTGCGCTGCGCGCTGTGGGCTTTGCGTTGCCATGTTCATGCGCCGGCCGGCTGGATAATCGCATGCCTTTCGTAGTTCGCTTTTTGCTGTGCTCTCCACCAGTTCCCATTCGCCGATACCGCTTTCTGTAGTAGGCACATGCTTAGGGCCATTGGCGTTCGTGCGTTTAAATTCGGTTGTTATTGCTGTTTTTACTGTTATTGTCCCTATAGTTGTTAAAATGTGCGCGTGCATCTGCGCGTGCGCGTGCGGGGCGTGCATTGGCTGATGTTCTCATTTCGCCTTTCCCCTGCCTTTTCCGCTCCCTGCCTTCTCCCACCCCCGCCTTCTCCGCCCCTCGCCTTCTCCGCCCCCCGCCCTTTCCGCCCCCCCCCCCCTTTTTCGCGTCCCGCCTTCTCCGCCCCCCGCCGTCTCCGCCCCTCGCCGTCTCTGCCCCGCGCCATCTCCGCCCCCTTGCCGCGCCCCCCGCCGCGCCCCCCGCCAGTGACAACATGCAGCCGCGCGGCAACGGCGCTGGCGCTGCTGCGGGAGAACCGGGACAAGTTCGACCTGGTGATCAGCGATGTGTACATGCCCGACATGGACGGCTTTAAGCTGCTCGAACTCATCGGCCTCGAGCTCGACCTCCCCGTCATCAGTGCGTTGCCGTTTCCTTGACCTCTTGCGCCTTCCCTCGCGCCCTCCCTCGCGCCCTCCCTCGCGCCCTCCCTCGCGCCCTCCCTCGCGCTCTCCCTTGCGCCCTCCCTTCCCCCCTCCCTCGCGCCCTCGCTCGCTCCCTTCCCCCCGCCCACCCACTCTCTCGCTCGTGTCCTTTCCCCACTGCGTTGGCTCTCCCGCCTTGGCTGCTGCGGGAGAACCGGGACAAGTTCGACCTGGTGATCAGCGATGTGTACATGCCCGACATGGACGGCTTTAAGCTGCTCGAACTCATCGGCCTCGAACTCGACCTCCCCGTCATCAGTGCGTTGTGGTCCTCTTCTCTTGAGCGCTTGTGCTTGCGCTTGCACGTGCACTTTCACTTGAACAGCTGGGGGTCTCTATTGCTCATTCGCTCGCTTACCCGCTCTCATTGCTGTGTCTCGTTTTGCTCCTCTTTCGCTGTCTCGCTCTCCCCTCCCTACTCTCCTCCTTACAACTTGTCTACCTTTCGCTCTCTCTCTCTCTCTCCGTCCTTCCATGTTTTTTTTGTGCACGCACCCTACCTCTTCCTTTCATTTTAATTCGTTGACTCCTATAATGCTGCTGCTGCTGCTCCTCCTGTTGCTGCTGCTGCTGCTGCTGCTGCCTCTTACTCTACGTATTCATCTCCTCCGCTCCTCCCCACTCCTCCCTCTGCCTCCGTTCCTCCCCCTTTCCAACCCCCTTCCTTTCCTCGTTCCTCCCCTCTCCAACCCCCTTACTCACCACCCTCCACCCCTCCCCCCTCCCGTCCCCCTCTCCCCCCCCCTTCCCTCCCCCCTCCCCAGTGATGAGCGCGAACGGGGAGACGAGCGCGGTGATGAAGGGAATAACGCACGGCACGTGATTACTGAGTCGACTCGAAGTCGTCTTTTCTTTCCCCCTTCCCCTCCCCCCCCACCTCCCCCCTTTCCCCCTCCCCTCCCCCCCCACCTCCCCCCTTTCCCCCTCCCCTCCCCCCCTCCCCCATCTCTTCCCCCTCCCTCCCCCTTTCCCCCAGTGATGAGCGCGAACGGGGAAACAAGCGCGGTGATGAAGGGCATAACGCACGGCGCGTGCGACTACCTCTTAAAGCCCGTGCGCATCGAGGAGCTGCGCAACATCTGGCAGCACGTCGTGCGCAAGCGCTCCTCCTCCTCCGCCGCCGCCCCCGCGCGCGACCCCTTCAAACAGGAGCCCGGGGGGGACTGGGACGAGACTGCTGCAGGGGGAGGCGGAGGCGGAGGCGGGGGCGGGGGTGCGACCGGCGCGACGAGCATGGTCGGGGGAGGCGGAGGGGGAGGGGGAGGGAGCGGCGCTGGCGGGTTGCTGAGTCAGGGGCGGGATGCGGGAGGTGGCGGGGGCGGGGGCGGGGGCGGGGGGGGCGGAGGGGGCGGGGCGGGGGGGAGTGACGGGGACGGCGCGGGGAGCAAGCGCAAGAAGGAGGAGTATCTGGAGGACGCGTCCACGCTCAAGAAGGCGCGCGTGGTGTGGTCTATCGAGCTGCACCAGCAGTTCGTTAATGCCGTCAACCGGCTCGGCGTTGACAGTAAGTGCTGCCTGCTGCGTGCTCCCTGCTCTTCCTTCCTTCCTTCCTTCCTTCCACCTTGCCTTACCTCCCGCGTCCTCGTACCCCTTTTCCGCCTGTCGTGTAACAAGATGCGGTGCCCAAGCGCATATTAGAGATCACGAATGTACGGCGACTTACTTGGGACGCCGCCATGTCTCACCTTTTCCCTCCTCCCCCTCCGATCCGTTTCCCCTTCCTTTGCCGTTCTCCCCCCCCCCCCCCCCCCCCCCCCCCCCCCCCCCCTCTCCCTCCCACCTAGCAGAGGTGTTTTCTTAGTTGACTCGAAGCACACCCTGGCCCCTCCCTCTCCCCCTCCCTCCTCCCGTTCAGAAGCGATGCCCAAGCGCATGTTGGAGATCATGAACTTGCAGGGACTCACTCGGGACACTTGCATGTCTCACATTTTGCTCAATGCTCTTCCCTCCTCCCGCTACTCCCTTCCCTTTAACCCCCGTCCCCCACGTCCACCCCATATACCCCCCACCAGAGGCGGTGCCCAAGCGCATATTGGAGATCATGAACGTGCAGGGACTCACTCGGGAGAACGTTGCTTCGCATCTGCAGGTGCGTCCGTGGCTCCTCTGGCTACCCTGCTCGCTGCTAGTATACTAGATTCTTTGGCTGCTGCTGCGTTTAATATTGCTGCTCCCTGGGAGCGGCCGGGGGGGGGGAGGGGGGGGAGTTGGCGGGAAGGGGGAAACGGGAAGTGGGTAGGGCGGCCAGGGAATGGGGGCTGTCAGGGAAAGCGGCCTGTTGTGGAAGTGACAGGCTGAAGGAAGGTGAAGAGACATGCGGGGAGCGCGTATCACTGCATGCATCACGTTATTCCGTCTGCCTCTCCCTCTCTCCAATTCCTTCCCGCCACCTTCCCCACCTCCTCCCTTCCCCACGTCCTCCCTTCCCCGCCTCCTCCATTCCTCCCGCCCCAATCACAGAAATACCGCCTGTACCTAAAGCGGCTAAGCGGGGTGAACCCACAGCCGCACCCAGTGGCCTCCTTCCAAACCACAGAGGGCAGTCTCTTTGGAGGCACCCTGCAGGTGCAACCTGCTGGCACCCGCACCACCAAAGCCCCTGCCATGAGCCTCCCTCTCTGTGTCTCTCCCACTCCGTCTCTCCATCTCCCCGTCTCCTTCCCCCCAACCCCCCCACCCCTCCCCCCCTCCCACCCCAATCACAGAAATACCGGCTGTATCTGAAGCGGCTAAGCGGGGTGAACCCACAGCCGCACCCAGTGGCCTCTTTCCAAGCCACAGAGGGCAGTCTCTTTGGAGGCACCCTGCAGGTGCAACCTGCTGGCACCCGCACCACCAAAGCCCCTGCCATGAGCCTCGCTGCTGCTGCTGCTGCTTCTGCTGCTGGGCTGACCGGTGGGGGCGGGGGAGGGGGTGGGGGAGCGGGTGGGGGAGGGGGAGGTGGCGCGGGAGGGGGGATGGGGCTGGGCGGGGCTGGTGGGGGACTCGGGGCGGGGGCAGGGGCGGATGTGCTTTCTGGGCTTGCTGCTGCTGCAGGGTTGGGGAATATGGGGATGGGTGGTGGGGGTGCTGCTGCTGCTGCGGCTGCTGCGGCTGCTGCGGCGGCGTTGGTTGCGGGAGGGGGTCTAGACCCGTCCACTCTAGCTACAATAGCACAGCTGCAGGCTTTGCAGCAGCAGGAGCAGGAGCAGCAGCAGCAGCAACAGCAGCAGCAGCAGCAGCAGCAGCAGGAGGCAGCTTCTTCGACTGTAGGCTCTCACTCGCTCGCAGGTCTGTCAGGGCTTGGAGGGGCAGGAGGACTGAGCAACTCCGCTATTGCAGCTGCAGCAGCAGCGGGACTGCTAGGCGGGCAAGGCTCAAGCGCTGCTGCTGCTGCTGCAGCTGCAGCAGCCGCTGCTGCTGCTGCCGGCACAGGAGGAGCAGCGGGTGGAAACAGCAGTGGCAACGGCGGCTTGGCGGGGCTAGGCGGAGCGAATGGGCTAGCACAAGCCCTAGGCCTGCAGGGTTTAACTGGGTATGAGATCAGCCTGTTACTGCAGGCGCAGCAGGAAGGGGCAGCGCGGCAACGCCTGGGTGGAGGAGGAGCAGGGGGAGGTGGATCTGGGGGCGGCTCTGCTGGGCTAGGCGGCCTAGGGGCGGTTGATTCTCTCACTCTGCAGGCCCTGGGGGGAAATCTGGGCGCGCTGGGGGGTGCTGGGGGGGGGAGTCCCCTGGGAGGTGCAGGTGGGGGAGCAGGGGGAGGAGGAGGCGGAGGGGGAGGGGGAGGAGGGGGAGGGGGGGCGTATGGTGGGTTGAGTGCGGCAGGGATTGCGAGCCTGCTTGGGGGAGGAGTGGGTGGGGCTGGGGGGGGAGGTGGTGGTGCCGGTGCTGGTGGCTCTGCGGCAGCGGCAGCGGCGGCAGCAGCGGCTGCTGCGAATATGCAAGACGTGGCGGCGTTGCGTGCAAGCATGGGTGCGTCAGGGCTTCCCATGGGGAGTCAGAATGCAGCAGCGCTGTTTCAGATGGGAGGAGGTGCGGGAGGAGTGGGGGGAGGTGGGGCGGGAGGAGGAGGGGGAGGGGGAGGACTGGGGGGTGGGGGAGCAGGGGGGAACCTTGGGTTGGTGGAAGGGGTAAACCCTTTGGCGGGGCGTTTAGGACTGAATGAAAGTCTGCTGTTTGCGCAGGAGTTGGGAGGGGCGGGTGCAGGTGCGGTGGGGTTGGGAGGGGCGGAGGATTTTTTGTCAGGTGGGAGACATACGGGAGGGGGAGGACAGGGGGGAGGGAATGACCTCTCTCTGTTGAATCAGTTGATGGGGCAACAGGGGGGACGCGGCGGGGGAATCACTCACTAAAAGGACGTGGGTGATCTTGTAAGGGCTATAGAGGTGGTGGTGTGGTGGTGGTCGGTAAGGGTGGATTGGTTGGTATAGAGGGGTATATGGAGGGGCGGTTTGTTGGTTTAGAGTAAGAAGAGCATGGAAGTTGATTGGAAGTGGGTGGGGATGAGATAAGGGTGGGGGGGATGAAGTGATGATGAGCGAAGATGAGAGTGAGGATGCGAGTGCAATGGGCACCTGTAAGGGTAAGGTGACACTGAGCCACTGATGTGAGTGGGCTTGGGGGGTTGCCTAAGCCAAGTGGAAGGAGGACGTGTTTCGTCCTGTGTGTCAGAAGCCGGGATGACATGGCATTTTGACGAGCTAGAAAGTGGAGATAGTTGAATTTGGGGGAGGTCCCAAAGGAAAGTAAGTAAGCAAGCAGCAACAAGTGAAGGGTGAGCAATCATATCTCATGACGTTGCACACAAAGGGAAGACCTACCTGCCATAGTTTCAATTTACTGCTGTTGACGAGGTTCTTTCTAGCCTTTTTCGTGTTTGTTTCTTTGTGTTGGCACCCTTTGCGTCTTTCAATGAGCATGACAATGCGCTTCGTGGAGTATGCTTGATAAGAGGCCCTGCCTTATGCCAGTCGTATGTTAGGTTCTGTCCAAATGATTTCCATGTAAAGTTTTAGGCTGAAGTAGCGGAGTGCTTTTGTAGAATAAATACACCCTTCAACCTTGGAGATGGAAATTGCGCCAAATATACGGGGCTCGTGTAGCTGGCTACAATCTGTGATACTACTACTCGCGTACTTTCTACACTTCGCAACAACCAGCTAAACCAGCTTATATAGCACCAAAGCATTCAACACCCATCGGGATTTTTGCCAAAACTGGTCAGCGGGTGCGGAGTTCCCAAGGAGGCTTTCAGATCTCGTCACCTCCCACAGCCAGTCGCAATAAGAGCGTACTTGCAGCCGTTGTCGTTCCGCTGATCAAGGCGGAAAATTAGTCACGTGCCTCGCCGCGGCAGACTCTCTCTGAGCCACGTGCTTCCGTCGTCGATATTTTTAGGCAGTAATCATGGCGTTTAATTTCGGCTCGTCCGCGTCAACGGGCTTCTCGTTCGGCGCGTCAGGATCGGCTCCCGCCTTCGGCGCAGCTTCCAGGTGGGCTGTCGAGTTCCTGGTGTCTTTTTCCGTGCCATTCCGGCCGCTTATAGCAGCGTAGGCTTTCATTTGTAATTATTTCTTGTGAGGAATGTTATAGTCTGAGTGTTTCTATGACTCTCGTGGTTTCCGTTGGAATCGCTTGGCTGGACGACGCAACCACACGTGTAACGATCTAGGTAGCTAATTTTTCTCTTTCGAACTTTCGCGGAGTGACGCGGCGAGTAATGTATACGATCGTCCACACCAAGGATACCGAGGATCATGGCAATCAATAATACGTCGAGGCGGAATGCCCACCATCTAGAAACCTCCGATTTCCGTCTGCCTTGCCTCTGTCGCTCTCTGTCGCCAGCAATCGCCGCTTATCTCCATCCGTCGCCATCTATCGCCATCTGTCGCCATCTGTCGCCATCTGTCGCATCTGTCGCCATCTGGTCCCATCTGCCAACCATTGTCGCCTGAGTCTCACCCTTCCCCACACTCTCCCTCCCAAACCACCCTACCCCCTCGCAGCTCCCCCTTCGGTGCCTCCGCAGCAGCGCCAGTCTTCGGTCAAACCTCCGCTCCCGCGTTCGGCCAGTCAACCACTCCGTCCTTATTTGGCGCTGCGGCTTCCTCCACTCCAGCCGCTACCACCTCCCCTTTCGGCGCATCTGCAACCGGCGCGCCCGCCTTCGGCCAATCAGCGACCGCCACGCCAGTTTTCGGGCAGCCCGCGACTCCGGCGTCCCCGTTCGGGCAGGCAGCAGCCGCTTCTTCCGCTGCCCCTGTTTTCGGGCAGGCTGCTGCTACCTCTACGCCGGCTGCTGGCTCCTCCCCCGCACCGTCTCTTTTCGGGCAGGCGTCAACACCAGGAACAGCAGCGCCGACTTTTGGTTTCGGGCAGAGCACATCAGCGTTCGGGCAGGCAGCATCAGCACCAGCCTTCGGGCAAACTGCCTCTCCTTTCGGAAAACCAGCTTCTTCGCCTCTTTTCGGGCAGTCCACAGCGCCAGCGTTCGGCGTATCACCATCCAGCGCGCCGGCTTTCGGGCAGCCCGCCGCAGCAGGGAGCACGCCTCTTTTCGGATCTTCGGCGGCTGCCCCGGCTTTCGGGCAGGTAGCGGCCACAGGGGCAGGGCTTTTCGGGCAGCCCGCATCTGCTGCGGCAGCTGGTGCAACTCCCACTGCTGCTGCCCCTCTTGCCTCGTCCACCCCCTTCGGTGCACCAGCAGCAGCAACAGCAGCAGCAGCCACCTGCAACCCCTTCTACTCCTGCTGCATCAACGGGTTTCTCCTTCGGTCAGCCTGCATCAGCAGCAGCAGCCACAGCACCAGTTTTCGGCCAAACAGCCACAACAGGAGCAGCTAGTCCGTTCGCTTTCGGCGGCGCTTCTGCTGCCACAGCTGCCAAACCAGGCACAGCCGCTGCTCCCGCTGCCTCTCCTGCTGCCCCCACCAATCTGTTCGGTTCCCCTGCTCCTGCTGCTGCCGCTGCGTCTGCAGCGCCTGCCTTTTCTGCTGCAGCGCCAGCAGCAGCGTCCCCTGCTACTGGCTTTTCCTTTGGCTCTGGTTCCGCTGCTGGGGCAGGCTTATTTGGTGCAGGCTCTTCTGCTGCTACTACCGGAAGCACTGCTGCTACATCTGCTCCAGGACTGTTTTCCGGAACTTTCCCATCAACTGCAGGTTCTGCTGGTGCTACCGGTTTCACTGGTTTTGGGGCGAAACCTGGTGGTTTTGGCACTCCTGCTTCTGCTGCTGCTGCTGCTGCTGGTGCCGCTGCTGCTGCTGCTTCTACTCCTGCCGCTGCAGCAACACCCGCTGGGGCAGGCTTGGCAGGTACTGCTGGTGCAGGCTCTACTGCCCCGGCGTTTTCTCTGAACTTCGGTGCTGCTGCAGGCTCGGCCCCGGCCTCTGGGCTAGCTCCGGCAGGAGGCCTGTTTGGTTCGGCAGCCAAGCCGCTGTTTGGCGCGGGTGCTGCTGGTTCGGGCGCTGCAGGCTCCTCTGCTGCTGCTCCATCCACTCCTGCTCCTGCTGCTGCTGCTTCGACTGCTGCAACGACTCCTGCAGCAGCAGGTACACAGGCAACAGCAGCAGCAGAAACTCCTGCCTCTGCCACTCCTGCTGCGGCAGCAACTGCGCCTGCCTCTACTGCTGCTTCTACTCCCGCTGCTGGCACCACCGGTTTTCCTTCCTTTTCTTTTGCTGCTTCCACCCCCGGTGCTGCCACCTCCCCTGCTGGCGCTGGTGCGTCTGTTTCTCTGCTTCTGCTGGCTAATCTGTCTTGTTTTGGCTGCCCCTTATTGTGTTGCTACTGCTGGCCGTACCCTGGAGTTTTTTGCCTCATGCTTTGCCTGTAACGTTGCCATTCAGTCTGTGCCAACAACCCTAGTTTCCCCGTGGCGTGCGGTGCAGGAAACACCTCTCTCCCGCTTTCGATACATTGAATTCCTTACTGTTGCTCTCACATTTCCTCTCACATCTCCTGTTTCTCATTTTCCGCCCTCCTCCTATCCCTTCTCCCCGTCCCCCTTCCCCTCCCCATCCCTCTCACCCTTAACCCCCGCCTCCGCCCGTTTCCTCTCCCTTAGCCGCATCTACCCCAGCAGCATCAACAGCCCCATCTCTCTTCGGCGCTGCTTCCACCCCTGCTGCCGCCTCCTCCCCCCTCGGTTTCTCATTCGCCTCTACTCCCGCCTCCACCACCACCGCTGCTCCTGCTGCTACCGGGGGAACAGCAGCAAGCACGGCAGCGGGAACCGCACCTGCTACTGCCCCTGCCACTGCGCCTGCTACTACCCCTGCTGCTGCTGCTGCAACCGGTGCTGCCACTGCTGGTGGTTTCTCGTTCGGGACTGCTGCAGCCACTGGGGGAGCGCTAGTAGGAGCAACTGCGGGCGCTGCTGCTACTGGCGCTGCTGCTGCTGCTGCTGCTGCTGCGTCCACACCAGCAGCAGCAGCGGCAGGGGCGTCAGCACCAGCCGCAGCAGGGGCAACAGCAGCGGCTGCGGCGGCCGCGGCGGCGGGGGCTCTGTCTCCGAAACTACCTTCGGAAATTGCCGGAAAGACAGTGGAAGAGGTGGGAAAGGGGAGAGCGGGAGTGGGGGATGGGCGGAGAAAGGTAAAGGGGACGTGGGGGCGGGGGAAGGGACGGGGAGGGGGATGGGGAGAGAGGGTTGTGAATGTGTGTAAGGGGGGGGTTGGGGATGGGTTAGCGGTAAGGGAAGGGGGTGTGGAGAGGAAAACGAGGCTGTATGATGAAACCATGGTCATTTGCGCTTTCTCTTGATGTGACCAAACTTTTTTTCATGTCGCTTCCCCCTTGCCTCCCTCGGCACATCTATCTTCCCACACCCCCATCCATCTTTCCGCCCATCCGCCTATCCGCTCATCCTCCCTCCTCTAATCCGCCCCTGCGCCCGTCCGCCCGTTCTTCCCCCCGCCTTCTCCCCCCCGTGCGCCCTCCCCCCTGCGCCCATGCGCCCATGCATGCGTGCTCCTATGCACCCATGCGTGCGTGCGCCCCATGCGCCCATGCGTGCGTGCACTCCCCCACACAGATCGTGCGTGCATGGACCATGGAGCTGGACGAACGGTGCGTCGTGTTCAGGCGCCAGGCGGAGGTTCTGCAGCAGTGGGACCGACGGATTCTGTCCAACAGACGGATTCTGTTAGGTCTAGAGGTGAGCGAGACTGGTAGAGGGTTCGGAGTAGGAAGAAGTGGGGGGACAGAGGGGGAAAGTGGGAAGGGGGGGAAGGGATGGAAGGGTGTGCGAGAGCGAGTGGGGGAGAGCAATTGAGTGAGGGGAGGTTGCTGATGGTTGGAGGAGAAACGGGAAGCGGAGAAAGGAGGAGATTGTGGGGAAATAAAGAGTTGCGACTTCTTCTATTCTCTTTTCTCCCCTAAGGGCGTGTCCCTTTTGGCAAATTTTTTCGAAGTTCGAAATATACTGCTTTGCACCGTGGAAACACACTTTTTGACTGTATCAGACCGTAACAAACCTCTCTAAAAGTTCGGATTTCGGCCAATTTCGAACTTTGAGGGGACACGCCCTAATGCTCTGTGCTCGCCTGTTATCTTTCACTTGACTCTGTTCCCCCGAATGCTCTCCCTCTCTCTCACCTCCCCCTCACCCACAGCCTCACTCTTCACTCTCACTCTCTCGCTCACTCTCACTCGCACCCTCACCCTTTCCACCCCCTCGACCTTCTCCACTTTCACCACCCCCCTACCACTGCCGTTACCCTGCCATAACCTTCGCTCAAACCATTCACTCCGCCTCTGTCCCCACTGCCCCTCCTTGTCCCCACGCCTTCCTACATCTTCTAGCTCTTTTTCTCACTCTTACCGCTCAGTTGCCCACGCTTTCCGCTCCTGCGCCTGCTTCTCTCTTTCCCTCCGTTCTCTCCTTGCCCCATGCTCCACTCCGTGCTTTTTACCTTGTCTTCTCTCTATATCCCCGCCCCCTTCCCTGCTGCTTCCCGCCTTGCAAATTTCCTCCCTCCCCCCCCCTTTCACACCGACCCTTCCTCCCTTCCCCCTCGTCCCTGCTCTTCCCCCCCTCCACACCACACCCACCCCCCCCGTACCTCCTCCTCTCCCCCGCATCAGGCTGACGTGGCGAGAGTGGTGGAGGCGGAGAGGGCACTGGAGAGACAGCTGGAGCTCATAGAAACACACCAGGGCGAGGTGGGTAGTTGGTGTTTTTAGTTGACCACAATGAAACATACCATGGACCATGGTGATAAAGAGGATCTGTTATGCCCTCATTTGTATCTGTCTTTCCACTGTTCCCATTATTTTCACCTTATGCATGATTTCTTTGGCCCCTGTGTCCCCTGTCTTATCATTTGTTCTCCACGACTCCTCTTTCTGCCTTTCTTCCATGTGAGCATCGACATGTCCCCCCATGTGTGTGTCTCTGTTGTTTGTCTGTGTGCGCATGAGTGCGCGCATGTGTGCGTGCGTGCGTGCGTGCGTGCGTGTGTGTGCTTGCATGCGTGTGCGTGCATTCCATGTGTGCATGTGTGTGTGTGCGCGCGCGTTCCATGCGTGTACGCATGCGTGTGCATGTGTGTGCATGCATACTTGTGCATGCTGCGTGCGTGCATCCATGCCGTGCATCATCCCTACGTGCAGGTGGATGCAGCGCTATCGAGTGTGGAGGAGGCAGCAGAGCGCCTGTATGCGGAGCAGAAGGCAGCAGGGCTGGTGGGGGATGACGCCACAGCCACCAGAGACATGATGTGAGATGCTGCTCCAAAAGCCACGTGAGAGTGTTGTTGAGATGACTTAAAAACAGTCCTTTAACAGAAGGCAGCAGGGCTGGTGGGGGATGACGCAACAGCCACCAGAGACATGATGTGAGATGCTGCTCTTGCTTCTCCTGCTGTTCCTGATCCTATTGATGATCTGCTCCTGCTGGTGTTTCTGCTGCTACAGCTGCTGCCGCTGCTGTTGCTCCTATGACTAAGCTCTTTTTTTCCTCTCAGCTCGCTCCCATTTGCCTTGAATTCGCCTTTGTACGAGCAGGCAGAGAAGCAGTGGAGCGAGAGGAGAGCAGCAACACCTTCTCTACCTTCCCGTTCCTGTTCTCCCTTTCCTCTCAACCCCCCATGTACCACATTTTGCAGGTACAAGCAGGGAGTGTCTGATCAGCTAGAGCTGCAAGCACCTTAGTCCTCCCCATTCCCGCCTTTTTCCTTTATTTCCTCTCCATCCATCTCAATTCCATGCAGGTACGAGCAGGCAGAGGCGGTGGAGCGAGAGTTGCAGCGAGTGGGCAGCAAGCTGAGGGGCGTCATTGACACGGTCAATGCTACGCAGGTGGGTGGGGTTGGTGCGTGGAGTACATATGTGTGAGTGTGAGCTGGCGTGCTTGTGTGGGCAGCAAGCTGAGGGGTGTCATTGGCACTGTCAATGCATCACTGGTGCGTGGGGGCTGGCGCGGAAGGGGTTGACAGTGCTTATGTCTAGTACCTCCCGTAATTCCCTCTCTTTCCATCCCTTCCCTTCCTCTCCCGGCCTCTCCCTGCCGTTGTTCAGTAAACCTCGTTCCCGTCAATCTCTCCTCCCCATCCTTTCCAATCCGCACCCGTCAAACCCGTCCCATTCCCATTTCCCCCATTCCCATCTACCTCTTCCACCCTTCCCCTCCACCCCTCTCCCTCCCCCACTTCAGGCGCGTGGCACGGCCTCTTCATCCGCGGACCCCGTTGCTCTGGTGATGTCAGCGCTGAAAAACCAACCAGCTGGGCGCTCTCCTTACTATCACATCCTTGCTCTCCCCTCTCTCTCGTCAACCCCTCTCTCTCGTCAACCCCTCTCTCTCGTCAACCCCTCTCTCTCGTCAACCCCTCTCTCTCGTCAACCCCTCTCTCTCGTCAACCCCTCTCTCTCGTCAACCCCTCTCTCTCGTCAACCCCTCCCCCTCTCCCTCTTCAGGCGCGTGGCACGGCCTCCCCATCTGCGGACCCCGTTGCTCTGGTGACGTCTGTTCTGAACAACCAGCTGGGCGCGCTCGTGTGCCTCGACTCCAAGGTAGGCTGTGGAGAAGTGAGGAGATGGGGCAGGGGATGGGGATAGGAACCGATGATGGCGACGGTGACATCTGTGATTAGCAACCAGCTGGGCGCGCTCGTGTGCCTCGACTCCAAGGTGAGATGACAGGCGAAGGGGGCGGATGGAGAGGGCATTGAACGAATGAGTGAATTAATGTCTGTGATTAGCAACCAGCTAAGCGCGCTCGTGTGCCTCGACTCCAAGGTGGGCTGAGGCTGGGAATTGGAGATGGGCAGGGGATAGGACGGGCACGAGGGCAAGAGGGAGGATGATGAAGTGGTGTAAAATATGCTGTGCTGAACAACCAGCTGGGCGCACTCGTGTGCCTCGACTCCAAGGTGGGAGTCACAGGGGAAGGGGCAGGGGAATGATATGAAGAAAGGGAGGGCAGGAGGGTGAAAGAGAAGAATGGGAAGGTGGTGATTGAATGGCTGATTTTTAGTCGAATCAAAGCGCACCGGGCAATGATATAGGAAGGGCCAGAGGGCAGGAGGGCAGGAGGCAGGAGAGAGGAGAGAGGAGAGGGAGTGGTAATCAAATGATGTCTCCGTACGCTCAGCGTTGAAATGATGTGGCAGAGTGGCCATTCAGAATGATGTGGGATGCGAACAAGATTTAGGGGCCTTAGTGTTGACCGCCATGTTCCAACCATCCTCGCCATTCCCACCTGCACATATCTCTGCTGCTTCCCTCCGCATGTGCCTCGGCTATCCTCCCGCGTCAACCAGCTTACTCAGCAGCACGGGGAGATGGATGGCAGCACGTGTAAAAGAAGTGCTTTGAGACGCCTCAAAACACTTCTTTTTACACGTAGCTTGCTCAGGAGCACAGGGAGATGGATGGATGGCGGCACGACATGGTCAGAGAGTGGCCGGCTGCCTTTCCTTGCTCACCTCTCCTCTCCGCACCATCTCCCATTCCCACCATTTCCACTTGCGCATCAACCAGCTTGGAGAGCTGGATGTCGGCATGGGTAGGCATCACGAGATAGACAGATAGTAACTCACGCCCCTCTGCTCCCCACTGCAGGTGTCTCAGCTGTCGTCGCGCATCAACCAGCTTGCACTGGAGCATGGGGAGCTGGATGGTAGTCTCACTGCTGCTCCTGGCGCTGCTGGTGGTGCCTTGGGTGCTGCTGGTGCAGGAAACGGGTATAACAGCCTGGGAGGGTACGGTGGGGGGGGATATGGTGCAGGGGGGGGGTATGGAAGGGGAGGGTATGGTGATGGTGGGAGTGGGGTGGGCGGATATGCAGGCATGGGCTCATATTACTCTTGGCCGGGCGCGTATGGGCCGTGAGAGGGTGGGTGAGAGAGGGAGTGGCAGAGGGAGGGAGTTTGCCAGGTTAGTGAGAGTGAGTGGGAGAGAGAGGTGAGTGACACGTGAGAGACAGGCAAACAAATTATGGCAAGGCTAAGGAACACGTTGACACGGCTTGCTTGGGTACACTTATTGGAGCAGGTAATCATACGTAAAAGGGTTTCCAGAAGGGGCTTCTGAGAGTGAAGAATGAAGAGGGGGAACGGGCTGGCTGGAGCAGGGGGCAGTGGATATTCAGCCGTCCATACCTTCAGCTGTTAGGCGTCTTACTAAATGGTTCTGGATGCTATGAAATGCAAGTTACGGTAGTTAAGCATCATGATTCATGAGATTTGCCCTGCATTTATGCACCGGTATAAAAGCTAACCAGTACTAATGTTCCTGATTTACTAGCCCTATTCCTAAATCCATACATTCTTTAAAAGTTGGCAGTTGCTATGCCGTAACGGGTACGACACCCATGGATCCGTTAGAAGCATGTGATTCAACATAAGTAGCATCAGTGTGACGCTCCTATTGCTACTCCTGTTGCTGCTGCTGCTTTCCAGTTGCATATCTCGCTGTAATGCCAGCAGAAGCTGAGTGTGAAACGGATGGTAGGTCGCATGGTGGACTGTGGTGCTTGCTTTTATCACTCAGAAAGGGCATCAACGGAGGCCGAGTCCAATCAAGGCAAGAAAAAGGGCACTTGGCGAGTGCTAAGTCAACTCAAGAGTGGCTTTGCTTCCATCACCCGGAAAACGCATCGGCAAAAGACAGCCCTTTGACTCCAGGCACGAGGCATTTGAACAGACCTCCGGCATTGGTAGACAGGTTTGCTCCTGGATATTGGTTGCCAGTGAGTGGCAAAGGCGGGGAAAGGGGAAAGAGTGGGGAAAAGGGAAAGGAGAAAGTTTGAGGCGCCTCAAATACAGCCCCCCAGCATTGGTAGACGGGCTTGCTCCTGAATATTGGTTGCCAGTGGGTAGGAAAGGCACGGAAAGGGGAAAGAGAGAGGGGGAAGGGAAGCGGGGGTGGGGAAAATGGGGGGTGGAGGAATATGTATGAGGGCAGAGAGGGCGGGGGAAGAGGGGGAGGGAGGGGGCAAAGAAACGGCTTGTTTGTGATTCGCTCAGAAGGTACGATGGAGATAGGTGGTTGAGGAAGTTGGTGAGGTAGCAAAGAACGTATTGGGAGGACAGAAGTGCGTGCGCAATGTGTGCTTGTGCGTGTGAAGTGAGGGGGAAAACACAAGGAGAGAAGTCCACTGATACTGGTTGAAAGAGCAGCAAATTGATGATTAGGCTGGAACCACTCGCGAGAGGATGGTTTGCACTCACCTGTCTCTTCCCGAGTGGTGACATAGAGCTCCGATAGATCCTTGCCTGCAATGCAGCACAGGAGAAGAGGCCATATAGCGACCGCGGACGGGAAATACAGAGAGGCATGGCTTTTAGATGAAGGGCACGGCTTTTTGATGATATATACACACACATACACACACACCCAGGGCACTGTCTCAAACCACCACACGCTGCCACATGCTGCCACACGCTGCCACTCTCTCTCTCTCTCTCTCTCTCTCTCTCTCTCTCTCTCTCTCTCTCTCTCTCACACACACACACACACACACACTCTCTCTCTCTATCTCTCTCTCTCTCTCTCTCTCTCTCTCTCTCTCTCTCTCTCTCTCTCTCTCTCTCTCTCTCTCTCTCTCTCTCTCTCTCTCTCTCTCTACATGCACGTACTTCCAAAGGCGCAGGACGTGGGGCGGACGACAGGAAGGGCCACCCTCGAAACCTCTTTGCCTGTTTCTGGGTCCACCTGTCGCACACTGCCACTCTCCCCCACCACCACCCACATCCACACACAAGCACACACCCACACACAAGCACACACCCACCCACAGAAACCCACTCCACAGGCGCGTACCTCCAAAGGCGCAGGAAGTGGGGCGGACGACAGGAAGGGCCACTCGGGAGACCTCCTTGCCTGTCTCTGGGTCCACCTGTCGCACACTGCCACTCTCCCCCACCACCACCCACATCCACACACAAGCACACACCCACACACAAGCACACACCCACCCACAGAAACCCACTCCACAGGCGCGTACCTCCAAAGGCGCAGGAAGTGGGGCGGACGACAGGAAGGGCCACTCGGGAGACCTCCTTGCCTGTCTCTGGGTCCACCTGTCGCACACTGCCACTCTCCCCCACCACCACCCACAGCTGTCCCCCCGCGTCTATTGCCATGCCGTCCGGCACTCCTGTAGGGGGAGGGGGGGAGAAGAGGAGGGGAGGGAGGAGGACGGGAGGGGGGAGAGGGGGGAGGAGGACGGGAGGGAGGAGGGGGGGGAGGAGGGGAGGGAGCAGGGGAGGGAGGGGGGTCGCACTTTCAAAGCCATTTCTGGTCGTCTCAAATGCCTCCCCTTGACCATACTCCTCTACCACCCTTTGTCAAATCGCGTGCAGCTTTTAGCACACGCACCAAATCAACTGCGCTAAAGCGCGAGGTCGGGTCAGGGGTACCCCTTTCCCCTTGCCCTAACTCCTCTCTCTACCCTAGCCCCCCCACCCCACCGCATTCCACCGACCTGGTTCGTCCTGGCTGAATGTGACTGCTGTGCGACGGTTGCTGATGCCCGCTGTGGCTGCGTCAAAGTCAAAACAGTCCACTGTCTGGTGGGGGGTGCATGGGCGGTATAGGGTACACGAGTTACATGGTAGATATAGGGATTGCTGTGGCTGCGTTAAAGTCAAAACAGTCAACTGTCTGGTGGGGTGGGGGGTGCATGGGCGGTTTCAGGTGCACGGGTTACACAGGATGTATGGGGGGAGAGGGGATATGAGTTGCTGATGCCTGCTGTGACTGCTTCAAAGTCGAAACATTCCCTGTGTCTGGACGAGGGATGCATGGGCAGTGGGGGCACGGGCTAAAGGGACATGGGTGGAGGGGACATGCGCGGTTTAGGGTACACGAGTTACACCGTACATATGGGGGCATATGATCCGCTAATGGCTGATTGGCTTCGTCTAAGATCACGGTTCGTGACTTCTCTGGCGTGGTCTACGAATGGCCCGTGTCTCTTCTTCATTGGCGCCCTGAGAGCTGAGCCAATGAAGAAGAGGCGTGTTGACATCCGCAGACCACGCAAGCCTGTTGGATAGCTGCGTGACGCCCACCTTCACCTCCACTGCCCACCTCTGGCCCCCTCATGATGCCCCATCATGATGCCACATCATGCCCCCTTTTGCCCCCTCATCATGCCCCCTCTTGCCCCCTCTTGCCCCATCTCGCCCCCTCTTGCTCCTCACAAGCGCATCACAACGCACCCTAAGAGCCGAGTCAATGAAGAAAAGCCGCGTGCCATCCACGGACCATGCCAGCCCGTTGGACAGCTGCATGTCCCCCACCTTCACCTCCACTGCCCACCTCATGCCCCTCATGATGTCCCTTCTTGCCCCTCACAAGCGCAGCACAACTCAACGCACCCTGAGAGCCGAGTCAATGAAGAAAAGCCGCGTGCCATCTGCAGACCACGCCAGCCCGTTGGACAGCTGCGTGCCCTCTACCTTCACCTCCACTACCGGAGCAGCAGCAGTGGCAGCAGTGGTGGTAGCAGTAGGGGAGATGCAGAAGAGGTTGCCTTTGGGAGCAGCAGGGTCGCGCCACGAGGCGTGCATGGTGCCCGCCCAGAAGCGACCCGCGGGGTCGCACTTGCCGTCGTTGAAGCTGCCAAGCAAGGGGGGGGGGAAGGAGAGGGGGATGGGGGAGGGCGGCAGGTAAAGGGAGCGGAGTTAAGATGCTAACATCACGTTCCGCCATGTGACTTTTGAGTTGACTCAAAAGTCACCCCGCCATGTGCCATGCATGGCGCCTGTGCAGAAGCGACCAGCAGGGTCGCACTTGCTGCCGTAGAAAGTGGCAATCAAAAGAGTGGAGTGTGGAACGGAGAGGGAGAGGAGGGTTGGGGGATGGAAGGGCGGCAAGCAAGAAAGGGGGAAGGAGAAAGTAGGTTTTGCACACAAAGATTTTAGAAGGAACGCAAGGGAAAAGCTGATTCAGACTTGCTTGCTAGATTAGCTGATTGAATCCATGCTTGAGAAAACAAAAACAAGGCACAAAAAAAGACAGGCGTCAACCGAGAGACTTCGTGTTGACTTCCTGCACAAGTGCGCCTTAGAGGCAATCCCAAGGTTGATTTGCTAACTGACCGTATTTTAGGGCCCGTGTACTGGGCAGGCAGGTGCAGGAGTGTGTCTGTCACCCGCCCCTCACTCGTGTCCACTGCGACTATGCAGTCCTGCATGCACGTGCACATGGATGCATATGTATGCACACTCATGCACATGGATGGACAGTCATGCACACGGATGCACAGTCATGCACACGGATGCACAGTCATGCACACGGATGCACACTCATGCACATGGATGCACACTCATGCACATGGATGCATATGTATGCACACGCACGCACGTACACATATGCACGTAAGCAAGAAAAACCACCAAGACATCACAGACGGTAATGGAAGGAGTTGTAAAAAAGAAAGAAAGAAAGAACAATTGCTGTTATTGAAACAATCGACTCGTCAACCCTTTTGCTCTCTTCCTTCCACATTTAACTCATACGGCCCAATCATCCAAGTTAGTCCAGTCACCCAGTCAGTCCAGTCACCCAAGTCAATCAAGTCAACTGATTCAGAAAAGTCAATCCCGCCTTCTCACTTCCATCGCCGCGATAAGACCTCCCGAAGCGCGCGGTGCGACGCATCCCACGAGCTGCGGCGTCGTGATGGCCTCTTCGCGAATCGCACGGTTCGCCACGCTGTCGTAGCCCAAGATCTTGCGACCGTTTATGTCGACGAACCACACGTCGCCACGTGAGTTGCATACGGGCGACTCGCCTAGCACTGCGCGACAATCGAGAGCCAGCGACACGGACGCCATTGATTCCAAATATAATCGAAGAGATGATAAATGTGAAGAAAGAAGAGATGAGGCAGTGGAAATTCAGGAATCGGCACAGGGTCAGGGAAGCTCGAGGCCCGAGAGCGGAAAATCTAGACCCACCCACCGTACCGAACCTCTGCTTGTTCACTCTGCAAACTATGGTGTCACACCCAAACCTGCACTATCCTCGCCGCAATCGAGCCCGTTCTGCGTCCATAAGCTTGTACCGCGTCATCTTGCCCTTATGATTTTACAGAACAGCGTGGATAAGTATGACAATCCGGAGCAGAATAATTGGTGAATTCATGATTAGCAAGACAAGTGTGCGTGAACTTTCATGAACAGAAACTAGCGGAAGCAAAAATTTATTAGCTAGCCGGTATCAATTGTTAAAAAGAGCTTCAGTGATTGAATTTCTATCTACATAAAATAATGTATGCATACTAAATAGATGATACCTATTCACTCTAAATATTGCATATACATACCAGAGAAGCTGCACTATTCCTCGGATGGATGCGTACGCCTTTTGCCCGCAATTTTCATATTTTGCACGTCCAGTCTGTCTCCGCCTCATCCCAATTTGTCGCGAGTCGCGCCCTCCGCCAGCAGTTTCAGTTCAATCCGCGACTCGAGGGGACCAACCACGATCCAGCAATGAGCATCGAGTGAGGGGCGGTCAACCACGCCGCCTCCCCGCAGGCGATGCGGAGCGGAGCGCAGTGGTCGTGCTCTGTATTGTACTGTAGCGCATTCTGTGTTTTGTTGTGTGACGTCCTCCCTTTCTCTCCCCTCCCCTCCCCCCCTGTCGAGTCGAGTCGATTGATCTCACGCAACCTCAAAGCTCGCTCCGCCCTCGATTCTCGCCTCGCTTCGACTTCCTCGTCTCTTTCACCAGCTGTGATTCGCGTAGTGTGTGGTGGCGCGCCCATGGCGGAAATCTTTGTCTTGTCCTGAAGAACATGTCGACGACGCAAAGGAATAACAAATGCTGAGTCGAGAAGAGCAGGGCAGGTAATAGTAGCAACACCATGCGCCACACGCCTAGCTGACTCGACCGAGAACGCCGCAATCCACGGTCCACCCCTAGAATAGGTAGGTTTCGTTTTGACTGGAAGTCGAGTCGGCCAAGAAAGCTTGTGCCAGTTTGTCTAGTTCTCGGCGGCGACGGGAAAAACCCGTAAATCCGACTCGGCCTTTCCTCCGTGCTCCTTCCATCCTACCGACCAATTCCAGGCTCTAGCTCACGCCGCATACGCTTCTGCTCCTTGCAGAGTGAAAGCGGGAGCTCGCGCAGCAGACATCAGTTGCAACGAGCGTCTTTAGTCTAGCGTCTCATGTGAACGCCTACATGTGAGCGCCTTTAGCTTTAGCCAGTACTCGTAGCGCGATCCACTAGTCCGCAAGTCTGCAAGACTGCGCCTAGCAGTCTTCGACTGTCCCTTAGTGTCTATTAGTTGAATAGACTGCACCACGGTCACCCTAGCTGTCGATGCCGCAGAATCAGCACGACACTCGTCGTCCGATTCTTCGCTTCGGAGCGCCTTCCACGTGTATTTTGAGTCAACCCGAGATTCACCCACATATTTTTTAAGCCTCGGAGCACCTTCCACGTCATCACCAGCTCCCTGGTTTCCGGATATTTCACTCCGAAGGAGTTCCCAAGGAGTTCCTAGTCTCTCGTTGATTTCCTAAACTGCCAATAATGACGCGCCCTCCGTCGCTTCTCTCGTCACCATGGGCGATAGCGCTGCTCGTGGCAGTCGTAGCCGTCTCAATCGCTGTGGATGTCTCGTTAGGAGCTTCCCCGTCATCGCGACCTGTCATAAGCAGGTCTCACCGGGGAAAGTCCTCTCCGACCTCCCCCTCCGCCTCCGCCTCCCGCTCCGCACCCCACTCGTCCCGCTCTTCTAGCTCCGCCTCTCCGTCTGCATCCCACTCGTCCCGCTCCTCGTCCTCCGCGCGAAGCAGTCAGCGCAGCCGGACCTCCGCGCCTTCCTTGCCTTCCCCCTCCCCTTCTCGCGCATCCCGCTCATCCCGCGCATCCCGCTCATCTCATTCCTCGACCTCCGAGGGAACCAGTCGGCGCAACAGTACTTCCGCGCCTTCTGTGCCCTCCACGCATTCTCCTTCCCCTTCCCGCTCATCTCGCTCACCCCCCTCATCCCGCTCATCCCCCGCATCCCGCTCATCCCACTCCTCAAACTCCGCGCGAAGCAGCCGGCGCAACCGGACCTCTGCGCCTTCCTCGCCTTCCCCCTCCCCTTCTCGCGCATCCCGCTCATCCCACTCCTCAAGCTCTTCGCGAAGCAGTCGGCGCAACAGTACCTCCGCACCCTCTGCACCCTCCCCGCCTTCACCCTCCCCCTCCTCTTCCCGCTCATCCCACTCCTCCCGCTCCGCGACCCCCGCGCGAAGCAGTCGGCGCAACAGTACCTCCGCGCCCTCCGTGCCCTCCTCGCCTTCCCCCTCCCCCTCCGCGCGCAGCAGTCGACGCAATCGAACCTCCACACCCTCTGCGCCGTCAACGCCCTCACCCTCCCCCTCCTCTTCCCCCCCCCCCTCATCTAACTCCGACAGCTCCGCGCGAAGCAGTCGACGACACCGGAACTCTGCTTCCCCTTCGCCTTCCGCCCCCCCCTCCTCCCCCTCTCCCTCCCCTCCCCCTCCCCCTACCCCCTCCCCCTCCCCTCCGCGAAGAAATCCGCGCAAGCGGACCTCCGCGCCCTCCGCACCTCCCCCGTCCCCCGAGCCGGAGCCACACAGGACGGAGGAGTCGGTGGGGGGCGTTGGCGGCGTGCCGCTAACGACGCTGACGCTGCTGCCGGACAATCTGTACAAGGCCAAGTGCCTTGACGGCAGGTGAGCGGGCAGGGGACGGCGTTTGAAGTCATTTTTGGAAGGTGAGCGGGCAGCGTCAGCGTCGCAGGCAGCGACGCTAACGACGCTGACGCTGCTGCCGGACAATCCGTACAAGGCCAAGTGCCTCGACGGCAGGTGAGCGGGTCATTCCTCTCACAGCTACGCCCGTTTTCTTCGTCCCACGCTTGTCCTAATCGACCGCACACCGTACCAGCGCCTGCTGCCTGCCGCTCTCCGCTCCTCCTCATCTCTTCAAAACCTTGTTCTAGTCTAACCTGTCTAACCTAAGAGTATTTTCACCTCCCACCTGCCCACACACATTCACCTTTTCACACCTTCTACAACCCCTCTCATCACCCCAATCACCCATCCCCCATCCGGGCCACTGCGAGCCTAAAGCGGAGAAGATATGAGACGCCCTCTTTAAACCCCCTCCCCCCACTTCCCTCCCTCTTCCCCTTTCCTTTGCACCCCTTCGACCCCTCTCTCCCTTTCCCCCGCCTTCCCTCCCCCCGTCCCCACCCCCCAGTCCCCCGGGGTACTACTTCCGCCCAGGCGTGGGCACCGGCGCAAATAACTGGCTGATCGATCTCCCCGTGGGCGGGTGGTGCACCACCGTCGAGGAATGCGCGGAGCGCGCGGGGACCGAGTTCGGCTCCACGCGCCGCTGGCCCAAAGTGATCGGCGGAGGAGGCGCGCCGGAAGGCGCGGGCGCCGCCGCCGCTTCCGCCGTGGCGGACGCCGTGTATCAGTATACGGTGGTGAGAGCCGGGGGGAGGGGGGAGCAGGTCGGGGAGGGTGGGGGGGATAAGCGCAAGGAGCGCTTCCGCTGTGGTGGACGCCGCCGTGTACCAGTATTCGGTGGTGAGTGTGGCGCTACGGGGGGTGCGAATAGCCGCGCGGGTATGGGGGAAAATAAGGCGCAAGGGCCGCTTCCACTTCCGCCGTAGCCAGTGTCCCGCCTAGTAGCGAACTCTGCGCTGACCTCTCCCCATACATTTCCCCCCTCGTGCGAGGGACGGGGGTGGGTACTCCGCGTCACGCGCGCGCGGCATACAGAGCGCTGATCCGCGTGCGAACCCGACGTTCCCATACATTCCTCCATTCCCCCTTCCATCCCCCACTTCCCTTCCCCCTCCCAACCACCTGATTCCCTTTCTCGCGCAGACGGCGGCGGGCGCAAGGGGTCGTCGCGCGGCATTCTGAGCACGGATCCGCGCGTGAACCCCACGTTCCACAAAATCGTCCATTCCCCCTTTCCCATCCCCCTCGTTTCTCCCTCTCCCGTTCAGACCGCTGCGGGCGTAAGGGGGTCGTCGCGCGGAATCCTGAGCACGGATCCGCGCGTGAACCCCACCTTCCACAACTGGAACCTCGTGCGCTTCATCTACTGCGACGGCGGCGGGTACGCCGGTCGAGTGCGGTGGAAGCCGGTGAACTCGAGCCTCATCGTGTATCTGGACGGGTGGAGAATATCCAAGGCCATTTTCATGGGTGAGCGAAACCGCCGGAGAAACCGCCGAGTTCATGGCTGGAGAACTCTCTCGTAACTCTCAAGCGTTCTGTCGTGAGAGACTGGCGAGTCGCTTTTCGTGACTATCTCCTAGGCGAGTTGAATGAACTCCATGGATTTCATACGCGACGCGAGCGTCGTCGTGTACCTGGACGGATATCCAAGGCTATCATCATGGTTGGACCTTGTCGGATGAATCCACAACCATGGGTGCCATGGAAGGCATGGGTGCCATGGAAGGCATGGGTGACATTTATCAGCAAGTGAACCCAGGGTGGTAACTTGTTGAGCCAACTCTTGTCTGTATAAGGGAACAATCAAAACTCCGAAGTGTTCTCACCGAGTCGATTCCCTTTCCCCCCTCCGCCTCACAGTCGTTCCAGTCTGCGCAACACCCATCATCTTCTCCCCAACCCCTTATCCCCTTCCCCCGCTCTCCCCCGCGCCGACCTCCCCGCGGCAGATCTCCGCACGCGGCGCGGGCTGACATCCGCAACGAACATCATCATGTCAGGGAGCTCGGCGGGCGGGCAGGCAGTGGTGACGCTGTGCGACCAGCTGGCGGAGATGGCGCCCGCCGCGCGCACCAAGTGCCTCATGGACTCGGGCTTCTTCATCGGTCAGTGCGCCTGACCGTCGGTGTTGTGCCAACTCCCCATGTGCTTGCGCCTGAGGTTGCGACGGCTACCCATGTGCTTGCGCCTGAGGTTGCGACGGCTACCCATGTGCTTGCGCCTGAGGTTGCGACGGCTACCCATGTGCTTGCGCCTGAGGTTGCGACGGCTACCCATGTGCTTGCGCGCACACCGAGTGCCTCATGGACTCGGGCTTCTTCATTGGTCAGTGCGCCTGCCCGTCAGTGTTGTGCCAACTCCCCACGTACTTGCGCCTGATGTTGCGCTCGCTCACGTGCTCGCTCGTGCGCTTGATGTTGTGCTGGCTCGCCATGTGCTTGCGCTCGCGCTCGCGCCGATTCCCCATTAGCTTGCGGTCACGCGGACTCCCCTTGTGCCTCATGAACTCGTTCTTCTTCATTGGTCGGTGCGCCTGCACACTCGTGTCTGGCTTTGCGCTTGATGCTGCCCTGACTCCTCATGTGCCAATGCTCCCGCTGACTCCACATGCCGCCGAGTGTGTTGCTGCTTGAAAGCGTCTCAAACACCGTGACTGATGTGCTTGTACCCGCTGCCTGCACCAAAGTGCCTTGTTGACTCCGGCTGACCTGGCATGACATCCCCTGACTTGACTCACCACATTCGCTGCTCCCAAGTGTCTGCTGCTGGGCTATCCCACTGTTGCTGCTGCCCCTGCTGTCTCTCTGCTGCTTGTGGACGTCCCCTAACAATTCGTAACGCTTTGAAGTTCCAAATTCGTGTGTGTTGGGCTTCTCACCGCCGCTGCTCCCAAGTGTCTGCTGCTGGCCTATGCCTCTGTTGCTACCTGCCTCTGCTGTCTCTCTGCTGCTTGTGGACGTCCCCTAACGATTTGTAACGCTTTGAAGCTCCAAATTCGTTTGTCTCAGACTTTTGGTGGTATTAGGCAGTGTGCCTGCCGCTTTCCCGCTTGATTGCCGTTCGTTCCTCTTTGTGTCATTCCCCCCTTTTCTCCGCTCTCCCTTTTTTTTTTGTTGACGGGAAGTGATAAGAATGCACGTTGCCCCTAAGCTCTCCATTACTCCCCACTCTTCCTGTCTACCTAACTACCTACCCCTCTCCCCTCGCCTTCCCCACCGCGCTCTCCCTCCTTCCCGCCTCCTCCCCCGCAGACTCTCCTGACCGTGCGGGGGTGTATACATTCCGCGCCATGGCGCAGCGCTTGGTGGGGCTGCACCTGTCGCTGGGGAACCCACGCTGCCAGCGGGGTGAGTGGGGTGTGGCTGAAGGGGCACTTAGGGGTACATAGAGTAGGGGGGGGGGGGGAGTTCTTGCGTGGGGTTGATACTCCTTCCGCTGGTGGGCTGCACTAGTAGCTTCGGAACCTGCGCTGCTGGCGGGGTGAGTGGCACGTGGGGTGTCTGGGTGGGCGGAGATAAGCGGAGAGAAGAGAGTGGGGTTGGGGAGGGTGTTGCATTTTGGGGAACATGGGGGGAGGGGAAGATCTGTTAAGGAGTTAGGGCGTGGTGTGAAGGGCAAGGACCGGGAAAGGTGCAAGGGACGATAGCTCTCTCCTGCAGTGAAGGCTGGGCTGTCACCAACTTTTGATAATAATCGAAAGGCAGACAGTGTCTCCCACTTGCTTGCTTCCCTAATGCCTCTCTCCTTTCGCGTCCCCTACCAACTCTAGCCTGTTCTGGCCCTTCAGCAAGCCCCACATCTATATGAAAAGTGCTCAAATTATCATTATATGCTCGCAATGTACAGTAACTTCTCTCTCCCACCCACTCCCTCCAATCCGCACTCCAGCCTTCCCGGGCATAGAGAGCTGGCGCTGCTTTTTCCCCCAGTATGCTCTCAACTTCGTCAAATCGCCAATCTTCGTCCTCCAATCACTCTTCGATGTGCGAGCTCTCGCTCTTGGTAACCAGCTCCCGCCAAACATCGGCCAAGCCACCGCTTGCCTGGGTGACATTCTCAAGGCCGCTCCGCGCGCGGGGACAGCGATAAAGACCCGCGCTTACCGGAGGAACCGAGTGGGGGTGAGCAAACTGTGCCCCGCGGAAAGTGTAGCCGTTTTGAATGCCGCTTCGGACGTCTACACCGCAGTACAGAATCTGATGCTGAAAAAGTCGGACCTTACAGCGTTTTTACCAGGTAACACGCAGCACACCTACACGTTCAATCCGTCGTGGGAGTTTGTCGCGATAAATGGTACAACGGTGAAATCTGCTGTAGATGCGTGGGTGGAAGAATCTTTGAGGTACTCGAGGCTCTTAGCTTCTTGACCTTAGGCAATGGCTGCCATACTTAATTTACCGTAGTTCTCTAGCTTGCAGCTAGGCTTTGTGCTGGGAATAATGTTGCTTTGAGGTTGACTTGTTGTATCCTTCGTGGTGGGTAGTCCGCTCACCACCTTGGTAATAAAGTATGCTTGTTCTCTGACTAAAACCCCGTACAAGCATTGACACTGAACAGGGCTCCAGAAAGTACTGCTGAGTTGGCCAATGTCAGAAGTAGTCTCTAGTGTTGCTGGTACAGGCTGCCATGGCTTGAAGTACGGTAGTATCAAAGCAAAGGTACTGTCAGCCTAGTGTAGCAAACGTTGTGATTGCTGTGGTAGATTTTCTGATTACACAGGGCACATTTGTCACAAGAAAACTGCTGTTTACAACAAATCGTACAAACAGAGAGAGGATAAGCAAATCCCGTACACAGAAGAAGCCCATCCAACCATCAATGCTGGTTCCTGGCAACGCCTTGCAGTCTCAATCCAGCCAAGTAACATCCGATCCGAACTGCATCCAATATTCTACTTTCCCCCAACCTCAAACAACCCCCCCCCCACCCCCCCCCCCTCCTCCTCCCCCCAAAACCAGTCCTCCCACTCCTCGCACCCACCTACTGCCCCTCAGTCCTCCATTTCATCCACCTCCCCCTCCTCTTCCTCCTCCACCCTCGCCTTCTTCCCCTCTATCCCCTGCGCCGGCTCCACCAGAAATTCCCCCAGCCGCCCCTTGGCCTTCTCAGCAGCCACACCACCCGTCTTCTCCACCCTGAACAGCAACCCACTAGCCTCTACCTCCACTGCAACTCCCTTCCCTCCTCCCACTTGCCCATGACCCTGCTGCTGCTTCGCACTGTCAATTAACACCGTGCAGTTATCATCTATCTTCCCTTCCACCAGCATCTTCGACAGCTGAGTCACCACCTTGCGCTCCAGCCACCGCCTCAACGGCCGCGCCCCATACACCGGGTCATACGCCTCTGCTAGCACCACATCCAGCGCCGAATCAGACACCGCCAGCGCGATTCCTCGGTCCGCCAGCCTGGCAGCCACCTGTTTCATCTGCAGCCGGGCCACCTTGCGAAGCTCTGGGAGAGAGAGAGGCTCGAATACCACGATCTCATCCAATCGGTTGAGTAACTCCGGCCTGAAATGCCGCTTCACTTCGCCCATCACAAGCTGCTTCGCCTCTCCCATTGACACATCCCCCGCCATCCCCGCTATAAGATGCTGTGCTCCTAAATTCGACGTCATGATGATCACCGTGTTGCTGAAGTCTACAGTGCGCCCACGCCCGTCGGTCAACCGCCCATCATCCAGCACTTGTAACAGGGTATTCCATACCGAAGCATGCGCCTTCTCCACCTCATCAAACAACACCACACTATACGGCCGCCTCCGCACCGCCTCTGTAAGCTGCCCGCCCTCCTCATGCCCCACATACCCCGGGGGAGCGCCGATCAACCGTGCCACGCTATGCTGCTCCATGTACTCGCTCATATCAATCCTCACTAGCTGCTTCTCGTCGTCAAATAGCTGTTCCGCGAGGGCCTTCGCGAGCTCCGTTTTCCCCACGCCTGTCGGGCCTAGGAAGAGAAACGATCCCGTGGGCTGCCCTGGGCGGCTCAGCCCCGCGCGCGAGCGCAGAACCGCTTCCGCCACCGCCTGTACTGCTTCCGCCTGCCCTACCACGCGCTCGTGCAGGCGCGCGGGGAGCTCCAGCAGCCGCTCGCGCTCGTTCTGCCCGAGCCTTGTAACGGGGATGCCCGTCCAGCGGCTGACGACCTCCGCGATCTGATCCGGCCCGACGGTTTCCGTCAGCATGGGCTTGACGGCCGGCGCCGCGACTCCGCCGCTTGTGTCCATCGCGGCGGCGGCGGCGGCGGCGGCCTCCGCCTCCCTCTGGTACTTCCCGATGGCGGCGTCCAGCTCCGTGAGCGCGCCGTATTTGAGATCCGCGACGCGCGCGAGGTCCATGCGCGCTTCCGCCTCGTGCACCGCGACGAGCACCTCCTCCCGCTTGTGCTGCAGGCGCCGCAGCTCGTCCACGCGCTCCTTCTCCCGCCGGTACCGCATCTGCAGCGGCTGCAGCTGCTCGCGCAGCGCGCCGAGCTGCTCGCGCACCTCCGCCGCGCGCATCTTACTCGCCTTATCCTTCTCCTTCTCGAGCGCGTGTAACTCCACTTCTAACTGAATCCGCTTCCGCTCGAGCGCGTCGATCTCCTCCGGCTGGCTGTCGAGCGCGACGCGCACGTTCGCGCACGCTTCGTCGACGAGATCGATGGCTTTGTCCGGAAGGAACCTCCCCGTGATGTACCTGCTGCTGAGCTGTGCCGCGACGACGAGCGCGCGGTCCTGGATCTGCACGCCGTGGTGCCCCTCGTACTTCTCCCGCAACCCGCGGAGAATGCTCACCGTATCCGCTACAGACGGCTCCTTTACAAGCACCTGCTGGAAGCGCCGCTCGAACGCCGCGTCCTTCTCGATGTATTTGCGGTACTCCTCGAGCGTCGTTGCGCCGATGCAGCGCAGCTGCCCGCGCGCGAGCATCGGCTTGAAGAGATTCGCCGCATCCATGGCGCCCTCCGTGCGCCCCGCTCCGAGGATTAAATGCATCTCGTCTATGAAGAGAATAATCCGCCCTTCGCCTTCCTCCACCTCCTTCAGTACCGCCTTCACGCGCTCCTCGAACTCTCCGCGGTACTTGGCTCCCGCGACGAGCGCGCCCATGTCCAGCGCAACGAGCCGCACGTTCTGCAGGTTGCTCGGGACATCGCCGCGCGCGATGCGCTGCGCGAGGCCCTCCACGACAGCCGTTTTCCCCACGCCGGGCTCGCCGATCAGCACGGGGTTGTTCTTCGTGCGGCGCGAGAGGATCCGCACGACGCGCCGGATCTCGTCGTCGCGCCCAATCACCGGATCGAGCTTCGCCGCCATTTCGACGAGATCGCGCCCGTACTTTTTCAGGGCCTGGAAATTCGAGTCGTCCGACGCGCTCTGAACCTTCGTCTCGCCCCGCGTTTTAGCGAGCTCGGCCTGCACTTTAGTCACGTTCACTCCCGCCTCCTTCATCGCGCCGGCGATCTGCGCATCCTCGATAAGAGCCAGCACTAACGAGTCCACGGCCAGGTGCGAGTCCCCCGCTTTCTTCTGAAGGCTCTGCGCCTTGCGAAGCGCTTTAACGAGCGCGTGATTTGCGTGGATCTCGTCGGGTGCAGGCTCTTGCGAGGGGATCTTTTGGAGAAGCCGCTTGAAGGCGCGCTGCAGGGCTTGCGCGGTGTCGTCGCCGCCTCCGCCGCCGCCGCCGGCGGAGTAGTTGTTGACGCCGGCGGAAGAAACGGCATGGCGGAAGAGGCTGTCGGAGTCCTCGAAGAGGGCCAGCGCAACGTGCGCGGGCGTGATTTCCGGATGGCCGTTGGATTCCGCGAGCTGCTTCGCGGAAAAGAGCACCTCGTTGGTCTTGTGAGTGAAAGATTCGGGATTCATGGCGGCCTAGTATCACTACAAGAAAATCGGATGAGAGGAAATGTCCAGTAAAAGATCAGCGATTCTAAAACTAAAGCAGATTTGAATGCTAGGAACGATAGTTCAGACAACAAGAGCTGAGCGTTGAGTATAATACAGAGAGCTGTCACAGAGAATGGGTAGTTCGGATCGTCGATGAGTGAAATAGCGGCTGCCATCGCACGAGCTTTATGCTGCGACCTCATGACGCGGCTCGGAGCGAACTAGCTTCGAGCAGTCGAATCGCACGCCCTTGACGCAAGTCTCCTCGCTCACCAGGCGAGCATGCAGTTCTTCTAGAGGCACATCTGACGTGTGTTGGGCGAGTCTGGAACGAGCTGGAAGGGGCGAGATAAAGCGCTCATGCTCGGCTGGAAGAAGAGATGGAGACGAAAGGCGAGAATAACGCTGGTAACGTGCGAAGATGCTGGAAGATGCGAGAAGCGAGGGGTCAGGGGCAACAACCTGATCGGGTTTCGCGAACACGAGTTTTTAGCGAATGACCTGGAATCGTCGCGAACTCATGCGAAGGGTGTACGAATGATTTGAGGTTGTTTCATGTAACAGCGGCTTTGTACGCTGACCTGTTTCTGTTCTCTTACAGCATTCGTTGACACCACGAACATACATCATCATTTGTTTCCTCCATTCAATGCCATTGACCTTACTGATGTAACATTTAACATTTCACAAGCGTTCGCTTTCGCAAACATGAGAAATCATTGTCGTCCCCAGTCAGATCCGGTTACTTGGTCCCATTAGTTACGAACCATGTTGTTCACGTCGTACACATCCACCATAGTCACGTCGGTTTGGCTTGAACTGCCTGTTCCACGTCCCGGTGAAGCCGGCGCTCCCCCCAGCTTTTACCACTCCTTTCTGCTACCGGCGGAAGCACGACTCCGCGTCAAGGCAGGGGCTGCACTCAACTGTTACACGCGACTCCGCCATTGGTTTTTGAACCACCTTTCCGCCTCGCAACCGCAGCTTGCAATCTCATTCGCTCGTGCCCACGGTTTTGCGCAATCTGCTCCCCGCGCACGACCAAACTAGGTGAGGAGGTTCTTCGTGAAGTACAGAACAACAGCACCACCTCCGCTCCACTGGGGTCGGTTTCCCGCGTTGTACTGTTCGTTGCCTCTCCCCCTTCCCTGGAAACGCTGTGGTGTTTTTTGCCGATTGAAAAGTATTCCAGAACAGAAAGAGAACCACGACCATATCAAATGAACCCCATGGAAATTACCGTAAAAATTGATTGTACAACTTCGCTGGATCGTACACAAAGCCTTTGACCGCATTCCTCTCTAGCACATTTGCCCCAAAAAAAGGGGTTCTAGGGCAACTGGATTTTTTGTTTTCCCTCCCAGATTCCCCACCTGCAGCATTTCCCCCACCCATCCCGCCCCCCTCCTTCCCCTCGCGCACACCTTATCGAGGTGAGCGATGCGATCATTTTGGCGCAACCATCACGCGGATGTTGCCGAACAACTAGTGCTGAAATTGGTGTCACATGAATCAGAACCCTACTCAACCATACGTAAACGTCTTGAAACATTGCGCAGACATAATACAACTCACACAACCGTACTTCTGCTGGTTTACGGCTATAACGTGCCCAAAAGGATGGATGCTTTTTGCAAGTACGTCTGAGCGCGGGGGTGCAGGAATGCTTTCGGTTGGGTGTGAGGGAAAAACGCGAGGCAGTAGAAACTATTTTGAAAGTTTCACACACATTAGGGTTGCCAACAAACAGCTTGACTGACTATTTCTGACTGACCGTTTAACTCAAGCGAAGCGCAATGCGCTGTAAGAAGACGACTGACTAAGCTGCCGCTTCCCTTTTGCCCGAAGTGTCACTCGCGCAGCGGCTTCTTTCCGCCATTGCTCCGAAGGCAACGTTAGTTGGTAATCGTTCGTAGCTCTGACAAACGTTTGAAAGGATTTTTTGCCCAGTGGCGCCAATCTATTGAGCTCTCTCGCTCGTCTCCCTCTCTCTCAGCTTGGCTATAATATACCCCCAGGCGATTAATATTATTCGTAAGAAGGCTGCAGGGGCCTAGTCTCCCTTATCCCGTCGCAAGAACTTAGTTTTTGTCCCTCGACTCATCTCAACTCATTGGCTTCTCGTCAATGGAGGGGATACGAGACCAGCAGATACGCTATCCGCGCGTAAATTAGGCTTATATATAGTTACAGATAGCATCCGCGGACGGAAAGCTTTGATCTTAATCAGCGAGCGAAATGGCGAACGACAACAATGTGCGGACACTCTTCCCTTACATCCCCTCTCTCCACTTACACAAACTCACAGATATGCGCACGCACACGCACGCGCACGCACGCAAACGCACTCCTTTTTTTTCGAGTGTTCTTGTTTGTCTGCTTTATTTTTGTCACATAGTAATACACTCCCGCACGCATATCCGCAGCCACGTACGCACGCGCACACGCGCGCAATATTGCTGCTCTCAACTCTCGCACTTCTCTTTCCTCCTTCGCCTCGTGACCGTTTCCTTGCTGTTTCCCGCGCGCCTCTCCGCACACCTCCCCGCATGTCTCCCCGCGCGCCTTCCCGTGCACCTCCCCGCGCACTTTCCCCGGCACCTCCCCGCGCACCCAACAATAATCTTCTCGCCGTCTTTCTCGTCCCCACTCCGTCCCCACGCTTTTCCCACTTCCATTTCACGCACTTCAAAATTAATCTTCTCTTCCTTTCTTTCTTTCTTTCTCTCTCTCTCCGCTGCTGCCCGTTGCCTGTCTGTGCGCGTGCCATTGCCATGGCATCCCATCTCGTCTTCCATGATCATCATTATCATCAATATCATCAATATCATCAATATCATCACCATCATCATAATCATCACCACCACCATCATCGTCGTATTTCTCCGCATCAACATCGTTGCGACCATCGGTGCGACCACCCCCGTGCCGTGATCCTCGCAACCACTTGCGACCGCCTCAATCACCGTAACCGCCGCTGCTACCGCTGGTCGCGGCCAGTCGGAGCGCCATCAGCGGTGGTTGCGGCGGCAGCTGCAGCAGCACATGCCGCGACTCTTCCCGCTCATAGAAGAGGCGCTCGCCGCCTCCGCGCCCAACGCGCAGGTACCCTCCCCCCTTCCCCACTCCCCCAACGGTGTTCCGCCCGCCTGTCCCCGCTCACCACCCCCTCATGTCATCACTGGTTGGTCATTCTCACATCATTGGCGAGTACTCACTGCCACTGCAGCCCTGCCTGTCCTGCTTGCAGCAATGCAGATGAGGCCGTTTGTTTTAACGCTTAAAACATTGTCGGAAAATAACCCCCCCCCCCCCCCCCCCCCCCCTGTTCTGCCTCTTCCCCTTCTTCCCCCTTGCTCCCCATGCTTCATCCCTGCATGCCGGTCTTGCAGCAATTTGTACAGGACCCGAGTGTAGATGCGCTTATAACGGATGAGAATACCGCGTATGACGTGGAGGACCTCCTTGCTGACCTGGCATCACGAGGTGAGGGGGTGGGGGATACGACAGTGTTTTCAGAAAGGCATGAGATGGTCTTGGGGAAGGGAGACAGACAGCAGGTTGATAGGGAGAAGAAAGGGATGATTTTTTAAGCGATATCGCCTCGCTGCATGCGGACTTTACACGGAGGTGGGTGGACCATGGAGACGAAAGGGATCAACTCCCTGAAATAGATGTTTGAAAGGGTTCTTTTAAATAATGGACAAGGCGTTGCAGGTGAGGGCGGCTCCGCAGCTAGACGCAGCAGTGCCGCGGAACGGAACGGAGGCAGAGGCAGAAGCGGCAGCAGCACTCCTCCTGTTTTCCCTTGTTCCACCCTCATCCTTTCCGTTCCCTCTTCCCACCCTCCACTCCCTTCCCCTCTTCCCCCTTCCCCGCTTCCCCGTTGCTAACCAGGAGTGCCCGGCGCGGAGCAGCTAGACGCAGCAGTGCAGGAGAACGGCATAGAGGCAGAAGCAGAAGGAGTGGTGGTTTTCTTTGATGTGCTCATGGCTGTTCTAGACCAGTACTTGGGTAACAGGCTGGGGAGTAAAGGGGAGCCTGGCGATTGGGCGAGTGGGAGTGGGGAGGAGAGTGGGGAGGAGAGTGGGAGTGGTGGTGGTGGCAGTGAAGGGGAAAGTGGGAGTGAGAGAGGGAGTGAGGAGGGGAGCGGGAGTGAGAGAGGGAGTGAAAGCGGGAGTGGGAGTGTGGAGGAGAGAGGGAACGGGAGAGGGAGCAGGAGTGGGAGTGGGAGTGGGAGTGAGAGAGGAAGTGAGAGAGGGAGTGATAGTGGATGTGACGTGCCCGTGGGAGAATTGGTGGGGGATGAAGAGGAAGGAGAAGGGGAGTACGGATACGAATATGAGGAGCGGTCTGAGGAGGAGGATGTGTCAGATGGTGGGGAGGGGAGTGAGGGAGAATTGGATGAGGAGGAGGTGAGTGGAGATGAACTGAGTGAAGAGGGATTGAGTGAAGAGGAAATGAGGGATGAGGAGATGAGGGATGAGGAAGGGAGTGAGAGAGATTTGAGTGAGGAGGATTTGAGGGATGAGGAAGGGAGTGAGAGGGATTTGAGTGAGGAGGAAATGAGAGATGAGGAAATGAGGGGTGAGGAAGGGAGTGAGAGAGATTTGAGTGAGGAAGATTTGAGAGATGAGGAAGGGAGTGAGAGAGGTTCGAGTGAGGGGGATTCGAGGGATGAGGAAGGGAGTGAGAGAGACTTGAGTGAGGAGGAAATGAGGGACGAGGAAGGGAGTGAGAAAGATTTGAGTGGGGAGAGTGGGAGTGAGGAAGAATACGACCCTGATAGGCAAGATAGCAGGGAGGAGGAGGAGGAGGACAGAAGTGGCAGTTTTAATGATGAGGTGCAGGAAAGTGGGGATGGGTATGAGTCAGAAGAGTTTGCCGCTGCAGGGAGAGGGGAAGAGGATGGGAATGGGCGCAGGAGTGAGGCAGAGGAACTGGAGGAGGGGGATGAGGATGCAGAGTACGCGAGTGAG